GCTCGCAAAGTACTGGATTACTCTTTTAGTGTTCACAGTCTTTCCAGCACCGGATTCTCCGCTTAGGATAAAAAAACGCTAATTAAAAGACTGATAAAATGCAGCACGGAAAAAAAATTGTGGTGTAAGTAGGAATATTATGCTACGTCATCAAATGTATTACGTACGTGATCAGGACAGACTGGTTTTCTCTGTCTGTGAGAGAACAGAATATAAGAAACTTAGCATTTGAAATTGCATTGGAAATTAGATCTCTAAAAAAATGACTACAAGTCAGATCATGATTACAAATCACCTGACAGCATGTACTGGTAGGCATTGTCTGAGATGGAGAAGATGTGAGGAGGAGCTTCAGTCCTTTTCTTTCCTCTATAGGCCTCAACTACTTCCTGGTTGTACACTGGCAGCCACTTGTAGGGGTTCACAGTGACACAGAAGAGCCCAGAGTAGGTCTGTGAGAGATTCACAGAAGGTTTAGATCTGCTCATGCAAGATAAAGAGAACATGTGAGTGTTTTAAGACTCGACTCACGTAGATCATCCAGGCTGCGTAACGCTCTTTGAGGTTAAACAGCACAGCGGGCTCGTGCAGGAAGGTGAACATCGCCATGTCCTCAATTTTATCAAACTTTGGCGGGTTCTGGGGGTGAACATCAATCTCCTTCACAGTAACTGTCTGTGGATAACAAAAATGTTTTGACAGTCACTCGCTACTTCTGTCTACAATCCACAACACTGCAGAGATTAGATCTTACCTTCCCGAATTCAGTGTCAACAGTGACTTTGTCACCGTCTCTACTGGTGATGGAGGCTTTGACGTACTCAACCTCAGGGTCGGGCACAAAGCATTCTTTCTTCATGTCGAAGGGGCGAGTTTGGGCCTCCAGACGCTCCTTGTCTGACTTTCGTAAGAACGGGGCGGCTGGCCCGAACTCTGCCATCAGAGCATCCCCCATCTTTCAATCAGACTGAGAAATAGATGAAAAAATTAGCTTGTTTATAACTAAAAAATATACTGGTAAATATAATTATTTATTAAAAAAAAAATCTATTTATTTATTGGTGTTTGAAACTGACAAAAATGTTGCATGCATACACACACATATAAACTTAACATGTTAACCTTATAAAAGCATGCCTTACCAGATGAAATCAAAACCCAAGAAAGTCCAAGTCCTTTCAATCAAACAAGAAACATCATTATTGAGAAATCATCTTATTCTATTGTTCAGTCCTCATGAACGATTTAATATAAATGATGTGTGCTCTTACCTTTAGATGGCACAATGATGTGAGCTTGCAATATTGTGCTGTAACTTATCTCTTTATATAAAGGCACAATGAGTGTGACGTTGATCATCTGTATTTGGTCCGGGTCATTTGTTTGTAGCTCTTTTTGGATGCCTGACAAAATCTTTGTGAGCCACAGTAGTTTGGCATGTGGTGTGTGACGGTAGTGAGAAAGCATCACAAAGGATTTAAATCACAATGATGCTATTTTTGTCCCGTATGTATTTCTTCTTTTTTAAAGATATCAAACATTTTTTTAATGAATTTTACACCTTCACTTTTATATTTTGTGGTTAGTTATAGGGCAAATTTGTATGCACTTAAAGCATTATAGAGGTGGAGACTCTTGTATATAATCTATCTTAACCATAGTTAAACATTCACACAAACTTTTTTTTAATAAAATTGTACAACGCTTAATTTGCCAGTAAGATTCCAGCAATAATGCACTGATGCTTTTCTAGAATTGCGTGTCATTTTCTGTCCTCAAAGAGAGACCGGCATGCACTGAGAATTTCACAGGTTTATCTTTGTGCTCAAGGATAAAGACAAGGTAACAATGCCTCATGAGCAAGACGGCTGTCACGGAACAGTACAATTGTCAGGAGACAGCTGTAACGGGAACAATGAGTATCTGCACTTACGACCTTGTGTTCTCGCCTAATGGAGAGACAGCTGCAACTCTTGCTTGTTCTTGTTTGCTGCTAGGACCTTTCTTGATTTTCCCAAAGCTAAATCCATCATATGTGTTTAATGGGTTTATCAAGTTCATTTACATTTAAATGAACAACAGCTTCATTCATGTTCATCCATGTTCTCCCCATTCTTTCTTCAAAAAGATTTTCAGCTTTATAAAGATTCCCAAGATAAATCCATGAAATGGATTTTGTAAGATTCAAATTGTAATTTGTATAATACTAGGGGTGTAACGATAGATTGTTATATTGAGGTATCACACTATAAAAATGCTACGATATGTATCATTGATGTAACCGGTATGATTTGCGATATAGTTAGTTTTATCCAAGGCAAATTTTCACAATCACAGTCACGTCCAAGTACTCTGAGGGCGAGGGCGCTTGCGAAAAAAACGTTGTCATTGTCTGTTGATTTATCGAAATCGTCTTCCATTGCAATTTCCTGTATATCTAATAGCTTGTTTTCATATGACGTCACGTTGCGTTGCCATGGCGCGAAATACAAATGGAGGGCAGGAAGTGATTTGCTGTATTTAGAAAGCACTTAAACAAACTCAAAATGTCTGTGTTTTGAGTCATTTATGGTTACTTGAATCGATCAAACCACAAGGAGTTTTTAGAGTGTACCAAAAGTTGTTGTTCATTAGGGGGGGGAAATGCAAGAAATTGATCAAAAATCGGCTTGCAAACAAACCTACGTCTGCGGTCGGGAGGAGTCGAATGGGAAAATGCCTGTGTGTGTAACGTTAGTGATCACTTCATCAAAGGTGAGTTAATACAACTTAAGTGACTTTTTCTGTAGCGTGTAATGTTTCCGAACTTTGTAAAGTCAAAGTATGTCTGTAAGACGAGGTAGTTGCTGATATCTACAGCCTCGATGGCAGGAAAATCTTTCAGTTCAGTTGAAAAGTCGTCATCCTCTTCATAACGCAAGGATCACGTCCAACATATGTTTGATTTTTTTTGTTTATATCTTTTTCTTGTAATAGCGTGTAAAGTAGTACAGTACGTACTTTCCTCCATCTCGTCCATTGCGCTCTTCACTCCCTGCCCTCCATCTGAATTCTGCGCATCATCATAATCACGTGACTGAAACTCAGCTATAGACCCCTTTTGCGCCGACGTCACAGTTACGTCACGGCGCTAGCTGGAGGCAAAACAAAGTGAAAACTGGAGGCGGCCAATACAAACCAGCACAGATTCGTCTACATAATAAGGAGCTTAAATTATTGTCACTATTATTAAATGTCATCTTGTTGTGTTGTTTGGTGCAAGAATTGATGAAAAATGAATATGCTGTATCTGGAATTTTTATTTATAGAAAATATTCACATGATTAAAATCGCACCGTAATGTCACTCTTTACATTGTCGTGGTCTCGGCGCTGGCTCGGCAGAACTGCGGATCGTACACACAAGTCTTGTACAGGACCATATAGGCATCTAAAGATTTATAAGCCCTGAGTTTCTCTTTACGATCACTTTCTCCATAAGGTAGGTGTAGAAGTCAGGCCACTCACCCGAGGTAACGTAACGTTAGTCCTGTCAGATCGTCCATGCATTGAGTGAGCGTGTAGGCGGATACGGGTCGGCCAATCTGGTTCTGGTCAATCCCGGTCCTGCACACTGAGTGACCTTACACATTAAGATAAAATCAGATTTTCTCCAGTCATTGTTAAAAAAAAGCTAACAATCCTTGCTAACCAGCATTAGTGAAGCGGCCAGAGGGATCGTTCTGCCTCCAACTAAGCTCCGCCCACATAAAAACATCATCATGTTTACCAACTGAAAAGGGGTCTATTATGTGGAGATCTTCACAGTGAAGGAAAACACTTTTGAAATCTCTGTGTAAACAATGAGTGACGTACACGTGTGAGAGATCACTTCCAGGGCTTTCTGGTGCTTCCGCAGATAGTAATTGGACTTGACCGTGATTACAAGAGGTAAAAACGATATAAATACTGTTCGTTTTCTCACACAAACCGCTCGTTTCGTGTCTTAGGCCATCAATGTGTACTTACATTTACGAGACATTAAATCAAGTTTAATTTGGACTTCTCTGTGCATTTTCTTTGAGGTGAACCCAGGGGGGACCCCATAAACCTCCATTATATGACTGACAGACAAGAACGGTTTGACCTAAAAATATCAAAATTGAAAATACTGTGGAAACAAAGACATGTTGGATGCCCTTGAGGTAAGCTAAAACATATCGAAATTAATTTCAAAGTGAACTATACATTACATATTTCTATACAACATTAAATATATTTGTGGGTCCTGATTATAACAACAATATTACTTTAATAATAGTAAAAAATCAGTAATTTGTCATAGTTACTCTCCTAATGTTTACAGAGGTTAATATATTCTAAACACATGACATCGGTTACCGTTTCTGTGTATCAGTTAACATGAAGGTCCTTATAATGATTTCATCTTAACAGAAAGAACAGGTCAAACTAACTGTCTTAGCCCCAGATCTGTTTCTAAACAGCGTTAATGTATTGTCAGCTCTACAGCATTGATTTGTTGTTGAGCCGTGTGAGCCATCACTCAAGACCTTTTGTGAGGTTTCTTGCCTACCTTGACCTCTCGTCCTTCAGTTATTCTGAACCCTCTCAACAAGCACCTTACTTAGTCTTAGCACTTGGGCAATCTATTCTAGGCCCCTCATCCTTTTACAGAGCCTCATTCTCAGCTGTCTATTTACTCTGGTTTATCAGCACTCATGAGCAAGAATGGAAGAAATGGGAGCAACCTTAAACGTCTAATAACGTTTGTAATCTGAGCTTCCTTTTGTCACTGGGTGCACTAAAATGGCCTTGCATCTGTTGGGTTAAATAGGAATCCATTGTGTCTCTACTTCCTTTTGTCTTCTGTTTCAATTCAATGATGCTAAAATAATAAAAGTCTGAAAACACATTCAATAATATGTGATTGAAAATATAATTATAATAAATAATAAATATAATAAAGTATAATAAAAAAATAAAATAAATATAATAAAATATAATAATAAATAAATATAATAAAGTCTACTAGGGGGATGGTTTGGGGTGGGTTCCAGATTTCTATAGTTGCTTTGTATTTTTGTATTTCTTGACCTTAACAAAGGAAAGAAAACTCTAACAGTTGTTAAAAAAAAAAGAAACGATAATTTAATTGTGGCCAAAACGTAAAGTTTTAGAATTTGGAAAATTTTAATTTAAATGAGTTCAAATAAGTATATGTGTCTACTTTTTTTCTATTTCTAGATCGCTAAAGTGAATCTGACATTGATCATGTGACTCCTTTGCATAGATGGTCAAAGTTTAAGTGTAAGCACATGATGCTCTTTGGAATGATCAAGCTTTGTTTGTCACTTCAAGTGCAGCTGCAAAAGAAATTCTAAAAATAAAAACAATGAGATAAAACCACTTTTATTTAAAAATATGTATTTTGAAAAATAAAAAAATGTGCATTTAACTACTAGTCTCAGACTTTTTGAAACCATTGAATATTGTGTAATATTTTGGAATGGTTGCTCACCAAGTGACCCCCTCTGGTGATGGTAGCTGTAGCCAGACTTAGGGACAGCTAAGAGCAGGGATAGGCAATGTCGAGTTTTGCTCAAACACACCTGAACAAGGTAATCAGTGTCTTCAGGATTATTACGGTTACAGGCTGGCAAGTTTTTTGTGTTTTTCTTTTTTCTTTTTCTGGATTGGTACTAAGCTATGCAGGACAGCGGCACTCCAGGGCTGACGTTGCGTATCCCTGTCTTAGAGCATCTAGTAAACCAGGATCAAATTTAGTGTGTGGTTGACATTTTGAAATATATAAATAACATTTTCTATCTTTTTTGTTTATGTTTCCAAATTAAATATGTATTTCATATTTCAGTGCAATTTTAGATATTGTATAAAAAATTACATTTAAAAAAAAAATCCATAAAAATGCACTCTGACCAGAATGGGTTTTCTTAATGCACTGCATCATGTGCCCAGGCTAAAGGTTTAACGGATAGCCCCAGTGTTGTGCTTCAAAGCCTGTTGCTGTCCCTCAGAGAGCTGATCGAGGGGCCATACCCTTCAAGTTGTCTTGTTTACATTGCATTGTTTCCTTTACTTTAGCCCTGAGGACAAAGATAACCTGTTAAATTCCTTTGAGTGCCTCTGTTATAGAAGAGATCTGATAGTATGTAGGACATGTCTCATCTGTAGACATCCATCACTTGCATGAACTCTATGGCTCCTCTCACATATAGTAATGTATGTGCTAAGCTTTATGAAGCTCTTAAAATAGCACTTGCCATACTTTCTCCATCCAGTGTTAATGAACCTCCTCCTTCCTGACTCCTCCTCTATTTAACAATTTCTGTTGGAGCCACTGCTTCATCTTGAGAAACAACAGGCACTTGTCACATCTCTCCTACCCTTCGAGTAGTTTTGTAATAGACTGTCCCTTGTCTGAAATGTGTTTTCTAGCTTTATTTCTATTTACAACCATTAGAAAAGGTAAGTCAACATCATGTTATCTACAGATTTTATTTAATTGTATTTATGTATTTGTTTCATGTACGTTAAGGCCCTGTTTGAACCTGTTTTAATAATGTCTGCTTTGAGTTATTGTTATCTCAAGTTTTGTGATAATGACCTGCATAATTGTGGATTGTATTGCTGACATGTTATTTAGCTATCAATCCTCATAACTACATTAACCAGCACATCTAATCTTAACAAATGACAATTTTTGTAGTGGTCTGCTAATGCCGGGAGAAAAATATTTTGTAAAGCGCACATAGTTTATACCATTAGTGACAATGACAATTTAGTTTTAAAATAACACAATGTGGCAGATGTTTACTTTGCACATTTTATTTATTCTATTTCTAGACTAATAGATTCAAAGTGACACACAAGATTTTGAGAGATGGGAGAGCTTCATTCCTCATCATGTCCTTTCTGTTCAAAATAGAAAAAAAGACAAAGCTGTAAGATTTGTTTATCTTATTAGAGAATATAATACATTTTGCCCATAAATATAATTTTTTAAAATTATTTTCCACATTTCCTTGCAAAATTTGATTGAACAGTAGGAAAATGGAGTTGCCATTAGCTCTGCTTCTCAAGGCTTTTTGAAGCAACATCATGTTATTTTCCACTTGAAAGTTATGAAATATTTTGTGGGTAGGTTTCCACAGTCAAATAGTTACTTAAAATTTGAGTTAATGACAGTATGCACCACACCTGCCAAGTCCTTTAACATTTGTTTGAAACAACAAATACTTACCTTGGATCCAGTATCACGGCTCTTGGCTCTCAGCTTGTTGACCTGAGATTCAGCAATATCAGCCCTCTCCTCTGCCTCATCCAGCTCATGCTGAATCTTACGTAACTTGCCCAGATTGGAATTGGCCTGTTCCTCCTGTAAAAACATCAAGATATTTTCTCAAGCAATCACAGGCAAAAAAACTAAGTCACATTATTGGATACGCATCAAACTCTCATTATTACTATTACTCAATACACTCCTAATTACTGCTTAGTTAGTTAATTGTTAAGTTTCAGTATTAGGTAGGAATAAGGGATGTAAAATATGGTCATGCAAAATAATGCATTAATATGTAAACTAATAGTGAGAACTACTGTAGACCTTAAACTAAATTGTTACCACATTTTAATTTCATCACAATCCACGTTTATTCATCACAAAAACTTAAAATCATGGCAATCAACCTTATTCATTCATTAAAGGGACTAAAATTTTGTGCAACTAATTTCAAACAAAGGTCGTTAAAGCAAATCTAGTTTATTCACCTGACATTGACATTCTAATAGTTTTTAACCCTTAAGTTGTGTTCGGATTTTCTTTTTCCCAAAAATGTTAATGTTATCGCCTTGGAGTAAAACTAACTGAATTCACTCAAATGGGGTATAACTACTTCCCAATTTATTTATTTTGCATAATGTTTGTGCTTTGTCGGGATTTTTCCCTAACATTACACTTGTGGTGTTCCCGGTCAAAAATGACAGGCCTACAAAAAAAGCTTTTAAATATCTTGTGATGCTATATTATTACCAAATATTGGATTCAATCTTTTTGTCAACTCGTTTCTAACCCTTTTTGGCACTGATTGTTCGTAGCCCTCATTTATCTGACCTTATGCACCTCAGTCTTTATCTGTTTATCACACAAGGCCAGCCATTTTTGACTGGGAACACCAAATGTCTTTCAACACAGCGTAAAGCATGATTAGATGCATACGTTTTTTTCTGAAATTATCTTAAACATACCGCCTCCTCAGCAGATCTCTTGTAGGATTTGACCTTCAGCTGGAGTTTGTCCACCAGATCCTGAAGACGTGCCAGATTCTTACGGTCCTCCTCAGTCTGCGTATAAAGTCAGGGTTGGGGAGTAACGGAATACATGTAACGTCGTTACGTAATCAGGTAACTGTAATTTTTTACAGTTATGTCAAAAAACAAAGTAATCACATTACAGTAAAAAAACATTTTGCAAAAAATGGGAATGCTATCAGAATTCAATGGTTTCAATTACAACTAAATAAATTAGTATTTAGTGATGCTGAAGGTGATATATTGACATTATAATGCTATATTGAAAGTTTGGATACCGGTTATATTCGTGGAGATATTCATTGGGCCGCCAAATAAAAAAAACATTCTATTTAATTCCTTATGGGGTTGCAATCCGATGAGAAATAAATACTTAATGTGTTGATTTTTTATAAAGACATGGAATTCTCATTTCACAGTATAACACAATGAACTTGCGTTTTCATTCAAAGAAGTTATTTGCCTAGAGCAGCTTAATAACTTGATGGCTTTCTAAAAATTTTCACAATTACAAATAATTAACAATTAAAAAATTATTCTGATAAGAACGTGTAATCTTTCATCTGGCACTAATTTGCATACTCTCATTAAGCTACACAGTTGCGGGGTCCATCGTAAGCAGTGATGGAATCAAAACTGATCCAAAAGAAATTTCCAAAAGGAGAATTAAAAACAAATAAGCAAGGAAAGAAAGAAAAGTACTGTGTGGGAGCATATTACTGAAATAGTTAACCAGGACGAATCAAGTGATGAGGCATGTGATATAAAACAGCTTGTGCAGTTCTGCATCTATTTGACAATAAACTTATAAAGCCTATATCTAGCCTTTGCTTGGAATGAATGTATTTAATTTCTTGTGTGTGTGTTTTCAGGGAAGTTGCAATGATGGAAACAGTGACAATTGATGTTTTAAGGGAGTAAAGCCTGTGTTTAGGCTATTAAGGAGTTTTGCCAAAGAAGTAGGCTGCTTTTAAATTGACATTTAGCTATTTAAAGTAAAAGCTACTTTAAATAGCTAAATGTCAATTTAAAACCAGCCTACTCCAGTGTAATATGTTACCATATCAACTTGCCTAAAACTGAGAATTAGAATTATTGTAATGTGACGATCTGGTGCAGATATCTAAATCAGAGAAAACCATACATTCGAGTGGGTAAAGTCAAATTCAGTTCAGCGCATCTAATTGCCAGCTGGTTCTGTTGCCAAACATGACTCACTCGAGCCACCTACTGGTGCTTGACCATCATTGTCATTAATATTGCTAGTTTTCTTTACGTTATTTACATATGTGACCTTAAAGGAATCCCAAAGTAATCAGATTACATTACATTATTTACTTTCACTTTGTGGTGCTTGAATTGCGTTACACTTTTTTTAACTGTAATGTAATACTTTTTTTAAAGTAACCCTCCCAACTCTGTATATAGTCATAGAGCATAAATTGACTATAATAGAGTCAATTTTATCATGCATAAATTGACTAAATTGTTATAAAATCTTTCCATGATAAAAATATATTTTTTGTGCCATAGAAAGTGACCTGGTAGGTGAGCTCCTTGATGCGTCTCTCATATTTACGAACACCTTTCACAGACTCGCTCGCCTTTCTCTGTTCAAGCTCCAACTCATTTTCCAGCTCTCTCACCTAGAAAAATCCAAAACGATTTTAAACACACCAATTCTAAAGCCCTGGATACACATATTCATGAATAGCAACCAACATACAAATATAGAAAAATTCATTAAAAATAGAGTTTTAGAAACTTACTCTGGCTTCCAGTTTCTGGACCTGCTTCTTGCCTCCCTTCATGGCGATCTGCTCAGCCTCATCCAGACGGTGCTGCAGGTCCTTGATGGTCTGGTCCATGTTCTTCTTCATGCGCTCCAGATGAGCACTGGTGTCCTGCTCCTTCTTCAGCTCCTCTGCCATCATGGCAGCATCAGTGATGGCCTTCTTGGCTTTTTCCTCGGCATTCCTGCACTCCTGCACTGCCTCCTCAACCTCAGTCTGAAGCTGAGTATTATCTCCCTCCAGCTTCTTCTTCTGATTCAGCAGGCTGGTGTTCTGAACATGGACAATATTTACATTCATGTAGTCTATTTGATATTGATTCTAAGAATGGGTTTAAAGGTTTTAATTGTCTAATGCAGATGTGTCATACCTGAGAATGCAGGAGCTGAACTCTCTCACTGACATCCAGCAGTTCCTGCTCAGCCAGTTTCCTTCCTCTCTCAGTTTGTTCCACCAGGGATCTCAGCTCATCCAGTTCAGCCTGCTGCAGATTGTTGCGTCTCTCCACAATGGCGATGTTCTCTTTGAGATCATCATTACTACGAAGAGCGTCATCTAGTTGCAGTTGGGCATCCTGTGAAATAAAACTTTTACAGATTAAAAGACAGCAAAGCTATGTTCACCTAATCACTATGTTATCTTGATTTGAAGATTCAACATACTTTGAGATGTCCATGAAGACCCTTGAGTTGCTTCTGGGCTTCTGATGCCTGTCTGTTAGCCTGGCTGAGCTGAATCTCCATCTCATTGAGGTCTCCCTCCATCTTCTTCTTCAGTCTGAGAGCTTCATTCCTGCTGCGAGTCTCTGATTCCAGTGAGCTTTGCAGGGTATCCACCATTCTCTGCTGGTTCCTCTTGGTCTGCTCCATCTCTTCATCTTTCTCCGTCAGCTTACGTTCAATATCAGCTTTGACCTGATTGAACTCCAGCTGAGCTCTTAGAATCTTTCCCTCTTCATGTTCAAGGGAGCCCTGACAGATCATTTAATATAGTTATTTAAAAACATGTTCACTTATATTAGCATAGCCTTACTTTAATCTTTTGAATAAAATTAGATGTTTAGGTTTACCTCAGCCTCCTCCAAAGCAGTTTGAATTTCAGCTTTTTCCTGCTCCAACTGCTTACGAATTTTCTCAAGCTCATGAATGTTCTTTCCACTCTCACCAATTTGTTCAGTGAGCTCAGCAATCTCCTCTGTTCATTAGGCGAGGTAATAATGGTTAATACAAGTTAAGATTTGTGTGATATTGATTTGGAGGAAAATATAAAAAAGTGTGCACATCCAAAACCCAAATTAGGCTTAGGTGTGGGACAAAAAAGACAACAATAAATTAACATAGGGTGTTGTGCCTGATGATCAATATATTTTTTGGAGCTGTAATTTCAATGTGCAAACAATTATTTTCTGTAAAGTGTATGAAATGTATGTGAAAGCCCAGATGACTAATAAATCAAGGGCACCTTGGAGGTTCTTGTTTTCTCTCTTCATAGTTTCCAAATGATCCAGAGACTCCTCATAAGAGTTCTTCAGTTTGAATAGTTCAGTACTCAGAGATCTGGCTTCCTTCTGGGAGCTTTCCAACTCGCTCTGAGACTCCTCGTATTTCTGCTTCCATTCAGCTAGGACCTGTTGATAGAATCCGATCTCGATTACCATTGGAGCTGAATGAACACAAAGATTATTTATCTGTAAGGGTTTTATGCAATCACCTTGTCAAAGTTTCTTTGCTTCTTGTCCAGAGCAGCAGCAGCAGCATTGGATCTCTCCACATCCACCATGAGATCTTCAATCTCATTCTGCAGCCTGTGCTTGGTCTTCTCCAGAGAGGAGCATTTAGCATTGACAGCTTCCACAGCTTCTTCTGCATCTTGCAGACGCTGAGCAAGTTTCTTCCTACAAATATAACACAGAAGCATTACTTTAAAATGTTTTTGTTTTGTTACATATTTTTTTAATAAGATTGTAGGTTTTTCATACTTGGCTTCCTCCAGCTCCTCAGTCCTCTGGATGGCATCAGTTTCATACTTGGTTCTCCACTGAGCCACTTCAGAGTTTGCCTTGGACAGACTACGCTGTAGCTCAGCCTTGGCTTCTTGCTCCTCCTCATATTGCTCCCTCAGCAGATCGGCATCATGACGAGAAGACTGAACTGCATGGGCCAGGGCATTCTTAGCCTGTGAGGATTAGGAATTTGCTGTTAACACTATACATTGGAATGCAAAGGACAGTTGGTAATAAATCCTTTAAAAAATAAACTATACCTTGATTTCCTCCTCTAGTTGTCTCTTGAGGTCTTCAATCTGCTGGGTGTAGGACTGCTTGCCTCTTGTTAGCTGAGAGACCAATGAATCCTTTTCTTCCAGCTGTCTAAAAAGCTCCCCTAGATAGAATTATAACCAGTACTTTACAAAAAGCACTGTGTGATCTTGGGCATTTGTCTAACAATACACAGGATTAAGTATTTCCTTATCAGAGTACATACCATTTTCAGTTTGTAGCTTAGCTTTTTGCATGGTAAAATCATTGATGCTGCGTGTTCCTTCTTCGTATTTTGTTCTGTATTCAGACATCTGGTCCTCAAGGGTCCTGCACATTTTCTCCAAGTTTGCCTGTATAAGTTTTAAATGTAAAAGAAAAAAAAATTAAAGGCAAACATTGAATGAATAAGCAGTTATGGCATTATTCCTAAGAACACCTGAAGTGAGAAAAACCAATTAAAAATTATGATTTGGAAACAAGAATTCATCACCTTTGCCTTTGCAAGCTGCTCCATGTTGGAGACCACATCGTCCAGTTCCAGTCTGAGTTCACTCTTCTCTTTCTCCAGCTTCTGCTTCACTCTCTGGAGGTTGTCAATCTGCTCCCCCAGATCAGCCACACTGTCTGCATGTTTCTTCCTCAGTGTAGCCGCAGTGGACTCATGTTGCAGAGTGGACTCTTCAAGGTCTCTGCGCAGTTTCTGGAACTCAGCTTCACGTTTCTTGTTCATCTCAATCTGGGCAGCAGTGGCTCCACCAGCCTCCTCCAACCTCTCACTGATCTCCTCCAGTTCTCTGGACAGATCAGCTCTCTGTTTCTCAACTTTAGCACGAGCAGCTCTCTCAGCCTCCAGCTCTTCCTCAAGCTCTTCAATTCTAGCCTAGTAATGTGAGGAAAGCCAAAGTTGAATTAGATAGAATTACTAATTGTCTACATTTTTAAGAATCATACATTTTACCTGCAACTCCTTCAGTTTCTTCTGGAGTTGGGCTGCCATTGCCTGCTCATCTTCAATCTTGCTACTGAGCTGGTTGATCTCAAAATCCTTCCTGTGTTGCAGAACATATTTGATTAAAACTATTAATAAGGATTCAGATTGTGAGCTGTATTCTTGAATAATGATTGCACCCTCTGGAAAACACACTTTTTAATCCTCTCTTCCATTTGCTGTTTGTCATTTTCCAGATCCATCACGCTCTCTTGGGTCAACTTTAAGTCTCCCTCGAGCTTCCTCTTTGCCCTCTCCAGATCCATACGAAGCTTCTTTTCCTGTTCCAGGGAACCCTCAAGCTGGAAGGACAATATTTTGTTAAGCATTGTAAATATCACCCTTTTCATTTACAATAGAAATGTTAAGAATACTTCTCACATCATCCACTTGTTGCTCCAGCTTGGCTTTGGCTTTGGTGAGTGTGTTGACTTTGTCTTCCTCACTCTGGAGGTCATCCAGCGTTTGCTGATGGGCCTCCTGAAGAGCTTTCTTCTCCTTGGTCAGCTTAGCGATGATTTCATCCAAAGCTGCCATCTCTTCTGTCAGGTTTTTAACCTGTAGAAATGTGTCATTGCATCAAGGGAATCTTAACTCACCATTATAGCATCACTAACAGGTTCAGTGCTGAAAACTGACCTTATTCTCAGTGGCATGTTTCTCTTTCTCCACTTTGGCCAGAGTGAGCTCAAGATCATCAATGTCCTTCTTGAGCTCAGAGCATTCATCCTCCAGCTTTCGTTTCTTTGCAGTCAGCTCAGAATTCATCTCCTCTTCATCCTCCAGTCTCTCAGTCATTTCTTTGACTTTGGCCTCAAGCTGGATCTTATTCTTGATCAGACCCTCACATCTCTCCTCAGCATCACAAAGATTATCTTGCTCCTGTTTACAGGTACAAAAAATGACATATGTCTTTGAATAATTAAATCAAAAGGATAGTTGTATTTTATTCATGAATTCATAAAATCATAATCTTACAGCTTGGACTTGGAGTTGCAGGTCATTCTTCTCTTGGAGAAGGGAAACCATCTTTTCCTCAAGCTCCTTTCTGCGGGCTTCAGATTTGGCATAAGCCTCCTTCAACTTCAGGAATTCTTCCTTCATGTTGGCCATTTCTTTCTCCGACTCAGCAGATCTCAGCAGAGGCTTGATCTTGAAGTAGAGCTTCATCCAGGGCCAATTCTTGACACCCATGAAGGCTCGTACATTCCACTGGATCACGAGCAAGGCATCTCTGTAATATGACACAAAAAATATATATATAATTCATTTAAAATGTACTAGTGGAATTATTTTGGAATTTAATAGCCTAACGCGTGTGATCAACAACCTACCTGCGTTCAACAATTTTTTGGAACTCAAGTCTTGCGAGATGACCACGAGCTCTAGCCTGAATATTTGTGATGATGAGAGCAAGACGATCATCTCGCATCTCTTCAAGAGTACCCAGCAGACCAGCCTTGAAGAACACCTTAGGGAGTAAAAAGGGTTTCTTATTTAGCCTTACATTGCACAAGACATAATTACATGCACTTGTTTTTGTATTTAAACTCTTACAACCTGAATTAGATCATCTATAGGGTACCTTTGTATGTCCAAATCTGTACTGTTGGTGATCGATTTCCAAAGAGCCTAATAATTTCTCAGCTCCTTTCCTGCTGTCAATGAACTGACCTTCTGGGATGGCAGCAGGGTTAAGGATACGGTATCTGTTGTTGAATAAAGTGTAAAACCATCTTCATTTTGTTTCTGACAATAATAATATGCCATTTAAAAAAAAGTATCGTACTGTAAAACAAAGGGGTCAAGAAATGTCCCAAAACCCATATGACTTTTTGTGTGAATCATTATTTTCAGCAATTTGTCCAAAGACCCAAGTAAATCACAAAACCAAATGAACAAAACATTCTGAATGGGAATAATATTCAATATGAATATTTGCAAAAAATCTACTCTGGTTGTATTATTTGTGGATGTTTTTGACCCAAGTGTGACTTTGATGTCTTGTATTCATAAATGAATGTACCTCTGCTTGAAATCTCCATACAGGATCCTGTTGGGGAATCCCTTCCTGCAGATCCTGATGCCCTCCAGCACACCGTTACAGCGCAGCTGGTGCATGACCAGAGGATTCTCCATCGCCCCAGGAGTCTTAGTCTCATTGGGGATGATGCAGCGCACAAAGTGAGGGTGAGTTGACCTCAAGTTGGTCATCAGCTTGTTCAAGTTCTCCTGTGGATAGACATTATCCATGAATCTGACCATTTATGTATTTTAAATTATGCTATTTAAAGAAAATTAGAAACCAAGCTATATTAAATAAATATTTTCATTATGAATCAGCCTGGAAACCACTCTATATTTTACCCTGTGGAGGGCAGACACTGTCTGAAAAGAAGAGCCCTTTTTCTTCTTCTCCTTTCCTTTGCCACCTCCTCCTCCCTCTGCTGCTGTTGAAAGAAAAAAATTCTTAAAATAAACCTTGCAATCCTTACTTGTCTCAATTAGATGCTTTTGCACCATCAGGCCAAACCGTTCTCAATGCTTAACCGTTTAGGACCTGCATGGTTACACATTTGGCTAAGCATGCAGAAGCTTAGCCAAACATGCTGATAATTCCAGGTCGAGAGTGGTTTGTAAGTGTGCTGTGTTGAACCATGCTCAAGTGGAAATATAATTGGAACCATTCCTTGCCATTTTTCCAGAACCATTTGGCCCGACTGTTGAAAAATGGCTAATGATTTGACACACCTGAGTCAGCGCCAGCATAATTAGCAAACAGTTGAGACAGAAGTTTCATGGTGGACTTCTGATAGAGGCCAACAACAGTCTCATTAAGAGGATCCTTGTTCTTCACCAGCCAGTTATTGATGTTGTAATCCACAGTGCCAGCGTAGTGAACCAGGGAGAAATGAGCCTCTGGTTTTCCCTTGACAATCCTGGGCTTCTGGAAGTTGTTGGATTTCCCCAAGTGGTTGTCATAAAGCTTAGCTTTAAACGTTGCATCACTGGCTTTGGGGAACATGCACTCCTCTTCAAGGATGGACATGATACCCATGGGCTAGCAAACAATAGATTAAAGGGTTTCAAATTAGCTTAGCAGTATTGATCCAATACATGAGAGATTTAAAATTTCAAATTTAAAAACTCACTTTTTCAATGAGATCAATACAAGCCTGCAAGTCCATGCCAAAGTCAATGAACTCCCAATCAATGCCCTCCTTCTTGTATTCCTCTTGCTCCAGCACAAACATGTGGTGGTTGAAGAACTGCTGCAACTTCTCATTAGTGAAGTTGATGCACAGCTGCTCAAAGGTGTTGAACTGCAGGTGGAATATAACGTATAATCACAATGGCAAAGTAACAAAGAACCAAAGGTCTTCAACAATAATAATCAGTTGATTTCCACTTACATCAAAGATCTCAAATCCAGCAATGTCCAGCACACCAATGAAGTACTGGCGAGGCTGTTTGGTGTCCAGGGATTGGTTGATTCTCACAACCATCCAGAGGAACATCTTCTCGTACACTGACTTTGCCAGAGCACCAATAGAGTAGTACACCTGTCCGATAGACATTAAAATGTTACCGGATAATGTGTTTTTATGGTTATGTGAACAGTATGTTATTTCATGATGTAGTCTCCACCTGCTGGACATTCTGTCCCTTGGTGACCCACTCATTTCCTACTTTGACTCTTGGGTGGCACAGAGCCTTGATGAGATCAGCAGAGTTCAGGCCCATCAGATATGCAACTTTGTCAGCATCTGTCATCAATTAAAGAAGATGGTTGATGGTAATGAATCTTCTATTAACCACTAACTGTATGCATTATGTCAGCATTTTATCCTAATACTGACCCTCAGTCCCATCAGCCTCGGCCTGTTCCTCTCTTTGCTTCTGCTTGAACTTCATGTTGCCGTAGTGCATGACGGATCCAGTCAGCTTGTAGATGCTGTTCTTCTCCTCTTGGGTGAAGCCCAAAACATCAAATGCTTCCTACAGCAAATTAATTTAACATGATAAATGTGTCATATTCTTGTATTTTCAGTAAAAATGAATCTTTAAGGGCCAGTTGTTCAAAACATTTAATCTGCATCAAAATGATCCGGATTCGGAAATCCCATTTTTTCCTATCCAGGATCAGGTCTTACTTTTATGCCGGTTTTTCAAAGCAGCATTGGACTGGATCACCCTGATCCAGATACACAGTTTTCAAGATTACCAAATCCGGATTACCAGTGCTCTAAATGGGACAACATATCACAATGTGGGCTACCAGCTATGTAAAGAACAGGTAGAAGAGCCAACATGGGGTCACTGTAAGTGTAAGATAATTTTTATTTTATATTTGCTTACTACTAAATAGCTTAATTGTTAGCCTATGTCTAATTTAACATAGTCAAGTGCAAAATATAAATAAAAGTATATACACTAAATGATACAAATGCATTATTTGACCAATTTTAAAGTTTTACTACACTTTCTTCCTGAAATCCACCTTGAAATCCTACCCCCTGTTGGGATCAGGATAATCCTGTTTTTTTGGATCAAAGTTATCCAAATCCCACTGACAAGTTTTGAACAGCAAAAACTGAAGGTTTGATCCAGATTAAAACTAGGATTGGATTCCCTGATCTAATCTGATTTCAGATTCCTTTTGAACAACCCATTTTCAAGATTTGATCCAATCCGATAACCATAATCCGATCAGCTTACCTTTGAACAACTGGCCCTAAAAGATAAGATCAAAATGTATTAATGGTAATTTGTAGCTATTTCAGATAACACACGTCAGTGGCCATCAGCTCATCGGCATCAACGATAGAGGCCACTTGTGTCTCTCCTTGAGAGATGAAGGCGTAATCATAGGGGTTTGCTGTGATCAGCAGCATCTCTGAGAGAAAGGACACAGAGCACTTAGACAACATGTTATAATGCATTTTCAAACAAAATTATAGATGCCCACCTAAAAGTTCTGGTTTCTTCTGAGACAGGATCTGGTAGAAGATGTGGTAGTCTCTCTCAGCCTTGAGCTGGAAAGTCACACGAGACTTCTCCAAAAGGTCTGTTCGTATAATTCACAAAATAAGCATTGTATCTAAATTTGGACATTGCATAGACTTATTTTATTTTATATACAGCTAATGCTAAATGCAATAAACTATTTGAAAATTGTTGCCGATGCAAATAAATACGTTCCCAAATGTCCCAGATTTAACTCACTTCTGGGTACAAATTTGTCACAAAATATGCTACTCTCTGAAGTAGGTACACGCACACACAAATCACTGAATATGCCTCTTAAAAGATAAATCAGTAAATCAAAGATCTTTCTTACAAGTCTCAATGTCCGCAGATGCTAGCTTGCCGCTGGCAGCAAAATGGATTCGGATAAACTTGCCCTGTTCGAAAGAGGATATTGTCTTTAAATGCTGTGGAACTACAAAATCTACAAAATGATAATTATTTGTAACTTCAATCATTGTCCACTCACAAAGCGAGAAGAGTTGTCATTCCTGATGGTCTTGGCATTCCCAAAAGCCTCGAGAGCAGGATTACACTGGATGATTTGATCCTCCAGAGTACCCTAGAAAACACAATATTAGAAATGTGTTTATGGTGAATGACAAATAAAACAAAACAACACTCCAATAATTTTGTGTTTGAGTTCAGATCTCCTCTGTTTACCTTCTTTTCACTGGTGTCCTTCTTTGAAGGACTAGCAGCAGCAATGCTCGCAAAGTACTGAATGACTCTCTTTGTGTTCACAGTCTTTCCAGCACCAGATTCTCCACTGTCAACACAAAGCAGTCTTAGGCAGAGCATACTATACATTGTCTTTGCAGCCAATTAAAAAGAATATGTTCTTACGTGATAAGAATTGACTGGTTTTCTCTATCTGCAAAATAAAAGCAATGTTTTGTTAGAAAATGGATTTCATGGATATTGGTTATTTATTTCTCCAGCAATGTAATATGAATGCAGTAACAATTTGTATAATTACTGTATGTTCATTAGACGCACCTGACAGCATGTACTGATATCCATTGTCTGAGATGGAGAAGATGTGAGGAGGAGCTTCACTCCTCTTCTTGCCTCTGTAAGCAACAACGACTTCCTGGTTGTACACTGGCAGCCACTTGTAGGGGTTCACAGTGACACAGAAGAGCCCAGAGTAGGTCTGTAAGAGATTCACAGAAGGTTTAGATCTGCTCATGCAAGATAAAGAGAACGTGTGAGTGTTTTAAGACTCGACTCACGTAGATCATCCAGGCTGCGTAACGCTCTTTGAGGTTAAACAGCACTGCGGGCTCGTGCAGGAAGGTGAACATCGCCATGTCCTCGATTTTATCGAACTTTGGCGGGTTCTGGGGGTGAACATCAGCCTCCTTCACAGTTACTGTCTGTGGGAACATGAGATTTTTGTCAAAATCTATGCATATTCATTTATGTGCACCATGTTTTCATTTATGTTTATTTAAGCAGATCATTATCCAAAATAACGTAAAAATGAGAATAATAGTTATATCATTAGAATGCATTAGATGGTGATCAGGTCGCCGTTGTAAATGAGAATTTGTTCTCAATCGGCCTACCTGGTAAAATAAAGGTTAAATAAAAAAAATAAAAATGAGGAAAAAAAACTCAGACTATGATGCATTTCAATCAAATGATTTAAATACATAATTTCAGAAAATGCAACATTATTATTTTTTTATATGACGTCACACCACTGCGTTGCCATGGCGCGAAATGTAAATGGAGGGCAGGAAGTGATTTGCTGTATTTAGAAAGCACTATAACAAACTCAAAATGCCTGTGTTTTGCGTTGTTTATCGTTACTTAAATCGATCAAACCACAAGGAGCTTTTATCGTGTACCAAAAGTCGTTGTTCATAAGGGGAGAAATGCTAGAAATTGACCCGAAAAACTCGTCTAAAACCAACGTCTGCGGTCTGGAGGAGCCGAATGGGGAAAATGCCCGTGTGTGTACTGTAGTGATCACTTCGTCAAAGGTGAGTTAATACAACTTACTAATATGTAATGTTTCCGAACTTTGTAAAGTCAAAGTATTTCTGCAAGACGAGGTAGTTGCTGATATCTACAGCCTCGATGGCTGGAAAATCTTTCAGTTCAGTTGAAAAGTCGCTCCTCTTCATAACGTAAGGATCACGTCCAACATATTTTTTAAATTTTTTGTTTATTTTGTTTCTCTTGTAATAGCGTGTAAAGTAGTACAGTACGTACTTTCCTCCATCTCGTCCATTGCGCTCTTCACTCCCTGCCCTCCATCTGAATTCTGCGCGTCATCATAATCACGTGACTGAAACCCAGCTATTGTTAAAATGAATTATTATTATATTATATTATATACTATTATTATAACTACATTAGTTATTCCAAAATAAATCAGCCCTTATTTTAAACTTGCGAGTTCATAACTAGTCTCTCATTTAACAAAATGAATTAAACCACTGTAAGTGACAGCTATAGTTAAGAACCATCTGATTAATCACAATGCCACTGCTTACACTTATTAAAACTCACCGTTCCCTTTGAAGTCTCACATGTGACTTTATCACCATCTCGGCTGATAATAGATGCCTTGAGATACTCCTCTTCAGCATCAGGAACAAAACATTCTTTCTTCATGTCGAAGGGGCGCGTTTGGGCCTCCAGTCGCTCCTTGTCTGATTTCCTGAGGAACGGAGCAGCCGCTCCAAACTCCGCCATCTGAGCATCCCCCATTTTTCACCCTTTATTTGACACAATAGTAATGTATGAAGTGACATGACTAGTACACATTCGGTTTCAAATCATTTTAAGTAAATGAACAAAACCCTGTTGAGCAAGATTGAAGTGTACTCACTTTTGCTGTTGTGGTTTCCAGAGACTAATGGTTCAAAGATCTAGTTCCACACAAAAGAAAGAAAATTAAGTGATACTATACAATTAGTAAAGAACTCTTTGATTCAAAGTTCATTTCTAATATGTGTATAAATCAATGTGCCTTCCAACTTACCGCACAAAAAGAAAGATAATGATGACACAATTGAAAACATCTCCTCCTCTTTTTATAATGCAATTGTTCTCTAAATATGGTAGTTGGCATCACACAAAGCTTCCAGCTCGCTCAGTTTGGTCTGGAAGGACGGGTTGGGTATGCTGGGTAGAGGTGGGGGGCAGTTTATTGTGGCATGGAATATCTTTCCTGTCAGGCTCAGAGTTAATAATGGTTATTGAGTATCAAAAATAAATGTTAGAAAAATATTGAAATATCACAAACCCACTGTATGCCTGAAACACATTAAAGAATTGAATAAGATTAAAAAAATGGTCTGTTGCAACAAATTTAATTAAAAATAAAACATAAAATACCTGACTCTTTCAAATACTGATCACTGCAACATCAGAGTTTGAGTTTAACGATTCTGTAATATAGTATTTACCTTTTTGTAACTCAATAAAAGATTATTGTTAAATATCCATAACATACGATGAAAGCATATTCTGTGTACTGCTATTAAAACCTTTATGAGGTTATTCATATTAGGATATTCAAATTAAATGACCCATCATACCATTGATCAGCTCTACCAATCTTGATTGTCTTTTTTCATGAATAAACAAACACTGTGATGTTGTCTTGATTGATACTGTGAAGCAGCTTTGATACAATCTGTATTGTGAAAAGCGCTAAATAAATATATTTGACTTGACTTGACTTGATAAGATTACAAAATGTAAGTAAATGGGCTGGACTAACTTTGGATAATATACATCTTCCAAAATGTTCTTTGTCTTGTATAGAGGTTCATCACTGATGCTGTTCCTGTGGTTTCCACTAGAGGCCTCACCGGATTAACAGTTATTGAATGAGCCTGGACAAGGTCAGTGTCTTGCTGGTGTGAATATTTCAGTTTGTCCTGTATTAGTAATGGATCATTTGTCTTCTTCGCTGTACTCTTGACATTCCTATTGAGTGCCTCTTCTTGATTGAGAGGAGCAGCTTGCATGATCTACCCGAGTACATCCATTTTTGGAGAGCAAATGAACTTTCTGAACTTTTCTGCTCACTACTTTTGTATAAATAGATACACCTTTAAAACACCTGATACAGATCAAATTACAGAGTAGCTAGACTGACAGCCTAAAACCATTGTAACCTCAAGACCTTGCAAGCTGATAAGTTGGGGTCAAGACATATTCATATGCTAATATGCGGCCATGTGTGTATTTAATATGAAGGGTGTTGATTATGAACCTCCTAAGATGTGAGATTCTTTAAAGGGATACTCCACTTTTTTTGGAAATAGGCTCATTTTACCACTCCTCCAGAGATAAACAGTTGGGTTTTACCATTTTCGAATGTATTCAGCCTTTTTTTTTTTGATATTTAGAAGAATATCAGTAACCAGACAGTTTCTGGTCTCATTGACTTCCACAGTATATTTTTTTCCTACTATGGAAGTCAATGAGACCAGAAACTGTCTGGTTACTGATTTTCTTCTAAATATCAGATAATCGACTGAATGGATTAGAAAACGGTAAAACTCAACTGTTTAACTCCGGAGGAGTGGTAAAATGAGCCTATTTCCAAAAAAAGTGGAGTATCCCTTTAAGGGTTTATAAATGGTCACAGTTCTTTCATTTGTATGGCTACTGGAAATGCAAAGACTGAAAACGACTATTGTTTTTTGATATTACCTAAAAATGTTTTGTGTAATGAATCTAAAATTCTAATTCTTAGGATTAAGCATTTAAAAAGTATAAAGTATTTTTTTTTTTACATTCATGAAGTGGATTTGGACAATGAACTAAACCTGTTAGTGCCAATCAAACAACAAAAGACATACCTTTACCTCTGCTTCTGTGACTTTTATTTTGTCTTTCTGTTTGTCCTTGGGTATAAAGATAACGGTGTGAAATTCTTCCCGAGTGCTTCTGGCCGGTTGAGGACAGCTCGGCCCACATGTTGAAATCTGGAGTGAAGCAGGTGCTGTATTTGCAAAGGCCTCCATGCACATAAAAGAGCGCCTAGTTATAGATGTTGGCACACTTGTTGTTTGCATTGTCTTAACTCTAGCCCAACAGAGGGAGAACAGTGTAGTGCTGGTCAGAAGGTGGATGCTATTATTAGCTTTCTTTTATAAAGATGGTCAGGGTCCTCTTCTCTTTTTGTTACATCTAGGAACTGTCTGTAATTGAGCAATTATGGTAATACAGGATAGCTCAAATTGTCCACATATTTAGTCTGCATTTTTAATAAATAGATACAATTATAGAACATTTTCGTCAAATTGAAGATTTTTCAGATAACCAGTCATGTTTGCTTCACCTTGTTTTCACAGTAAAAACTGTTAGCAAGAGATTCAGCCTTTTAGGCTTTTTATAACATGAATCCTATACGGTATCATTTAAAGCGGCAGCATAGTTGTTTTCCTCCTCTTCTCTCCATTCTCAGCTGTTCAGAGTTGACTCTAGCTTTAATCATCTGTCCATCATTGACCTGCTCATTACCTTGAATTACATCTACAATTTCCAGCACAGATACTAATCTTGCCCTAAATCTTACAAAAGGAACCTCAGAGCTCATCTGTTTAATGTGTGAAATGAGTTGCAAATCATCTTAAGCATTTGTTTTCATGTTAGATGTATGGTTACAACTTTGTATGAACACTGTTTTGGACTAGGGTCAAAAAACAGATAAAAAAAATGTGTCACCACACCCACACATATTATGAGCAAGGCATCTAGCCTGAGAAAGTCCAAATGAGAAACATTGTGTTCTTCCAATTGAAAGGTAAGTTTTCACTTGTATTTTTTTGGTAATATTTAATTCAGTGCTTTGAATCATTCAATCTAAAAAGACTATGTTGGACTTCACCAAAGCATCATAAAATCTTGATTTGAAGATTTGTCATACTTTGAGATGACCGTGAAGACCCTTGAGTTGCTTCTGATGCCTGTCTGTTAGCCTGACTGAGCTGAATCTCCATCTCATTGAGGTCTCCAATGGTGGACTTCAGATAGAGGCCAACAACAGTCTCATTAAGAGGATCCTTGTTCTTCACCAGCCAGTTATTGATGTTGTAGTCCACAGTACCAGCGTAGTGAACCAGGGAGAAATGAGCCTCTGGTTTACCCTTGACAATCCTGGGCTTCTGGAAGTTGTTTGATTTCCCCAAATGGTTGTCACAAAGCTTAGCTTTAAATGTTGTTAAAAAATTCTATTTCAGCTTCCTTCAATAGAAGACAGGAAAGAAATTTGTACCAAACCATTTACATGATTACAGTAGTGATCACAACCCTAATTAGGGTTGGGATCACTTCTGTGATCATTTAAATATTTGTAACACAGAATAATGTGTTTTTATGGTTATGCGGACAGTATGTTATTTCATGATGTAGTCTCCACCTGCTGGACATTCTGTCCCTTGGTGACCCACTCATTTCCTACTTTGACTCTTGGGTGGCACAGAGCCTTGATGAGATCAGCAGAGTTCAGGCCCGATCATTTATCAGCATCTGTTGCCAAAAAATAGAGTTAGAATAGAATGGTTGATGTTAAAGGAGTAGTTCACTTTTTAAAAAAACTTTTGCTGATAATTTACTCACCCCCATGTCATCCAAGATGTCCATGTCTTTCTTTCTTCAGTCGAAAAGAAATGAAGGTTTTTGATGAAAACATTCAAGGATTTTCTCCATATAATGGACTTCAATGGGAACCAAACCGTTCAAGGTCCGAATGAGAGTTTCAGTGCAAACTGTTCAAAGGGCTTTAAACGACACCAGACGATGAATAAGGGTCTTATCATGCGAAATGATCACTCATTTAATAAATAAATAACAAAGTTTAAGTTTTATAAGCTCAAATGCTCGCCTTGCTCTGTTCTTTGATGAGCGTTTGTGACTCTCCTGTTCGAACTCGTTCTTCAAAATGAACAAATCTTTTAGTCATGACTCGAAGGGTTCTTGATAAGACCCTTATTCATCGTCTGGTGTCGTTTAAAGCCATTTGAAGCTGCACTGAAACTGTCTTTTGGACCTTGAACTGTTTGGTTCCCAATTAAGTCCATTATATGGAGAAAATCCTGGAATGTTTTCAACAAAAACCTTAATTTCTTTCTGACTGAAGAAAGAAAGACATGGACATCTTGAATGACATGGGGGTGAGTAAATTATCAGCAAAAGTTTTTTTTTAAAAAGTGAACTACTCCTTCTTTGCCTTTGCATTCAATAAATTAAATATTTTAATGCCCTTGTGTGTCATGTGAGCATTTTATCCTAATACTGACCCTCAGTCCCATGAGCCTCGGCCTGTTCCTCTCTTTGCTTCTGCTTGAACTTCATGTTGCCGAAGTGCATGACAGAACCAGTCAGCTTGTAGATGCTGTTCTTCTCCTCTTGGGTGAAGCCCAACACATCGAACGCTTCCTACAGCAAATGTACAGAGCATTGCATGGCATGTTATACAGACTTCAGCTCTAAACCTTGTGAAGCCAGTATCTACAAATATATGGTTGTTTTGGATAACGCACATCTGTAGACATCAACTCGTCAGCATCATCAATAGAGGCCACTTGTGTCTCTCCTTGAGAGATGTAGGCTTAACCATAAGGATTTGCTGTGATCAGCAGCATCTCTGAGAGGATAAAAATATGTTTTAAAAAATACAATAAAAGTACAATATTTTTTCTCATCACTTGTGATTTTGCTTACCAGAAGTTCTGTTTTCCTAGTCAATTCGTTCATTTACTGAACCAAATGACACACAAAAAAAGATTCGTTTATTTTGATGAACGACTTCGAACAGGAGAGTCACGAACGCGCATCATAGAACAGAGCAAGGCGAGCATTTGAGCTTATAAAATTTTTAAATGAGCGATCGTTTCGCTTGATAAGACCCTTATTCATCGTCTGGAATCGTTTAAAGCCCTTTGAACAGTGTAGTTTGCACTGAAACTGTCTTTTGGACCACGAATAGTTAAAAGTGTTGATAGTTAATGTGATTTTCTACAGTCTGCAAACTTGAAAATATTTCATACATCCACTGAAAATCACCAAAATACCAGCTGCGCATACAATGCAACATTTATAAGTGTATAAATAATGTAAGACTTCTAGGATTAGGATAAGTAGGATTACTAATAAATTGATAACTCTACTACAGTCAGTGATGTTGAGTGTTTGTCAGGGTCACTTACCTTTGCAGTTCAACTCCTCTGACACTGATGCTTTGATGTCCTAGAGTCAAACAATTAAGAATAACGTATTAGTCAAACAATTAATAACTATTTATTTAATATCAAATATTATGTTACATTATAGTTAATAATGACTTGAAAAACATCTCTCTATGCATAAGATGTTATAAAGTATGAGGTGTCCCTGAAGGCTTACCGTCTGATGCTACGATAGAAACTTGTCTGAAGCCATAGACTCTCCACCCTTTTTATATTGTAAGAGGTCGTCTATATATGGTTGCAGGAATTTTCTGAAGCATGTCAGTGTCTGCGTTCGGTTAGGATGCATATGGGATGGGTGTATGTTTTGAAAAAGGTATAATTCATGCCGGTAAGGATAGATGAACTTTCATTCAACTTATTTATGCTCCAAATTAGGGTTTAAGGAGAAATATTAAGATGGCATAACTGGTGTAATGCAAAGGAAACTGGAAAGTTGCTGAAATCACAATCCTGCTGCTTTTTACCATTGTGTTAACCTATTAACCAATCATAACTATTTTTATTTATTTGCATTGTCTGATAACTGACCAGCAAACAGCTGTTGGCTCAAAGAAAATGCATCCCATTGTTTGCGTCATCTGTTCCTTGCTCAAGGACAAGCCAAGTGTCATTTCACTCTGTCCATCAAAGATGCTTTATATCCATTCGAGCAGCCGCAACTGAATATAAGGGCCAAGGTCAGTTTACAGTTGGTGGCATCGCTTCACTCGGGCCTTCATCGCTGACACGCCATTGTTCCTTTGCCTTCACACTTGAGGACAAAGATAACCTGTGAAATTCTTGCTGGCTGATTCTAAATCACTGAGGAGAACAGCTTGTCTTTCTCCAACCCGGCGTATATTAATGTACACGCGACCTCTCCTCAATGTGAACTTAATATTCATCAAAGGAACTGTGTTTTTATTTGTCCAGTTTGCCAGACTATTCTTACTTTTTTATATCAGCAGCAACCCAAAACCCAGGTTATCTAGAACATAGGTCATTCAACTAGACCACATTTTCCAACTGAGTTCAGAAACAAAGGCCTAAAAGTGTAAAGCCTCTACAATAAGTTCATCCTCAGTCGCATTTAACAATACAGTGTCAATTGTAAAAAACCTCACCCTTAGTTGCGTATATAGTTGTGAATTTAAATGAATAGTTCACTAAAAATCATCACTTACCCTCACCTTGCTCCAAGACCTGTATGCATTTCATCCTTCTGTGGAAAACAAAAGAGAATGCGGTATTTATAAGAACGCTGGTGTACAAACATCATTGGACCTCATTGACTTTAATTTTATTTAATAAAAAACACACTGACAAATGGTGCGTTCTATTATTCATCCGTCTCGGAGATCCGAATCGGACGACAGACGTTGCCTAGCAACACGCCCCCTTTCCTCGGATTTCTCCTCTCGGACGTCGGACAACCGTAAGGACACCGAGCAAGAATTCCGTTTCGGAATTCAAGATGGCTGCGCCCTGTGACTTGTAAGAATGAATTGTTTTCATTGTTTTTGAACCGCTTTGGTATTTTAAATGACGGTTATAATCACTCGTATTACTGCGTCCCCTGGAATCGGTTGATGTGAGTGCAATTACTGACGTTGCTAGCGTTGCTAACAGAAGATTAACATGAAAAACATTAATAAAGTGAACATTTTCAAGTTCAAATGGCTGCGTTTTAATAAGGTGTAGTCATAATAATTGTTTTTTTTTTGTAAGTGCCTGGTACTCGGCCAGTGCTACCATTATAACAGCTTTCCGGGTGGCGTCCATTTTTTTCTCCGACTCGGACGCGCAAAACAAATAGAACGCTTGAAGTGTGGACGTGACGTCAAAACCGAGGTCCGAGTCGGTTCGTTTGCTATAATAGAACGCACCATTAGTATGTCAAAAAAAGTTTTTTTTTTTTTTTTAACTTTTTTACTTTTATGCTACTAGACCTTTTTTTATAACCTAAAATCAACCCTCGGTAGAAATGTGTGCAACGTCTGCATCGATGCATATGGAGGAGGTCTGTGTCTGGCTGTCAGTCGTCCTCTTACCAAATACAACATTGTTTCCTTCCCATTGTCCTTGAGTACAAAGATAACCCTGTGAAATTCCTACTGAGTCTCTGACGAAATAGAAGCAACTGATGAGGGACATTGAGAACACATAAAGCGGATGCCCTATCAAGTGTTTCATGTTGGCACCCTTGCAAGCCGTATACTTTCTACTTATTTTACATGTCCAATTGAGGCAAAACGATGCTGGTCACAAGACGAGTGTTTATTATTACCCAACGTTTGACCCCGTATCGAGTTAAAAGGCAGACAAAGGGAAGAAATAGTCGTTGTTGTTTTCTTGGCAATAATAAAAAAATCTTAAGTTCTTTATGCAAATAAAACAAAAATCATTCCTGTTGTTTATATACAATGTTCATCTGTTTTTCTGTTCATGCACCTGTTGCTGGTTTCTCAATGGGTCAACTAACTGTTATGACCATTGTTAACCAAAAGGGTGAAAGTTTAAGATGTTGCTTCATTTATCTTCGACTTCTTAAAATATCTCAAGAACATTGTACTGTGGTTTAAGGTTGCAGGATTGCTCCTCCCTATATTCAGCTGTTGGACTCCACCTCTAGCACTGGCCTGTTCTTCACATTTAATACTCAGATTTTACCAGTGTACACGCTTCTCTTTATTCAATCAGTGACTCTTTAACAAATTTCCATTGTTTAATTTAGCAGTTTTTATTTGGAACTGTTGAATACATTAGGGTTGTAATTTGTTTTGCAGGTCTCGTGCACTCGAAAGGAACGAGGACATGCAGGTGAGACAGCTGAAATAAAGAAATTATGTAGTATTATCATATCAAACATTTTAGTTTTTATCTTGAACATTGGCTGTAGATGCTCTGTAGATTTAAAAAATGATTTTTCACAATAATTTTCAGTGTGGAGGATGTTTAGAGGAACCTTACTGCAGAACGCACACTCAGGGGAAGACACTACTCCCGTTGATCTACCAAACAAGGTCTTGGGTTTCATTTACACTTGAAAAAATACATCATGTGGTAGGTGTTTTTTTTTTTTTTTTTTACTTGTAAAATAAGATGTGGCAAATGTTAATCTGTATTCTGTAAAATGATACTGTATACATGTCATGGTTTTGTTATAAATTATTAAAGGTGCGATGTGTAAAAAGTTTGGCTTTGCTATGTGGGGATAAATGTGCTGGTTATGTTCATGAGACAGCTGATTAGTACTCTTGTCATCGACCGTAAAACAGTAACGTTACAGGAATCACCAACCGATCTAAGTCGATCTTGAAGAGTTTTCAAAATAATTCAAAATAGAAAAAAGCCTATTTTTGTGTAGTAAATAATGTCTAGGGGATGCGGAGGCGCCCGCTGTTACAAACATGTCATTTTTGCCGTTCATGCGGATGCGTCAAGGCTTTACGCTTTAACCAGCTCGGCCACAGTAACAGCTCATATTAGCCAGCTAAACTTTTGCTACCCTTTTAGAAAAAAAAATTATAGTTCGCTGTATCATGGGTTTGCTATGTGGGGAGAAATGTGCTGGTTATGTTTGTGAGACAATCAGCTGATTACTATTATTATATTATATTATATATTAAGACCCTTGATCCTCACCTGACTATGGCTTTAAAACTTTATCCATGATGTGGTTTATAATGGACTGTGGTTCAGAAACAGTGACAATGTTACACACTCTTGTCAGACGATATGTTTGTCCCGTTTGAGCCACCGTAGCTTCTTCGAAAGGGAGGGGTGAAGAATTTGCATATAAATGGAATGTATAATTAGGGCTAGAAAAACACACTGGGAAAATTTGCAAAGATAAAGGAGTCGAATAATAGTAAATAAGACAAAAGTGTTTAAATAACTGTTTTCAAATATGATAAAGACCACAAGAAAATTTTAATTTGCAATCTTTATTCTACAGAACTACAGGTAATGAAGTCAAGAGGCACAGATTCAAACCAAATAAGCCTTTCAGGAAGACTTCAGAAAGTAAGAGCTTCACTCTTCATCGTGCCCTTTCTGTGGAAAGGAAAAGAAATGTGTTTGAAAGGTATATTTGCTATTTGATTTTAGTTTTTGCATTACATCATAACTTAGACTCACTCGAGGAGAAAGCGATAAGCACAAAACGCTTTAGGTCATTCTCTTTTAACTAATTTTACAGTTCACCTGGCATCACTGAAAGGTAAAGGCTTTAGAAACTGATATTTACAAAATTATATCTAAGCCTTTCACCATTCAAATATAAACATTACCCTTTGCTTCATTGAGCCTTCTCACTGAGTTAAGTTACCTTGGATCCTGTATCACGGCTCTTGGCTCTCAGCTTGTTGACCTGAGATTCAGCAATATCAGCCCTCTCCTCTGCCTCATCCAGCTCATGCTGTATCTTACGGAACTTGCCCAGATTGGCATTGGCCTGTTCCTCCTGATTAAATAAAACGGTTGTTGGCATAAACAATATACAAAACAGTACAGGAATGTACAGGCAATAAACTTACAGCCTCTTCAGCAGATCTCTTGTAGGATTTGACCTTCAGCTGGAGTTTGTCCACCAGGTCTTGAAGACGAGCCAGATTCTTACGGTCTTCCTCAGTCTGTTAATAAACTTTTGATTATTTTTGGTCTGGGTGGTTTGAAGAGGGTTATATTGGGGGATATTGTGTTGAACAGAGAAAAAACCTGGTAGGTGAGCTCCTTGATGCGTCTCTCATATTTACGGATCCCTTTCACAGACTCGCTCGCCTTTCTCTGTTCAAGCTCCACCTCGTTTTCCAAATCCCTCACCTACCGAAACCAAAAATTATCTCTGAATCCAAGTAACTAATTTTTGTGACTAAACTTTACAAAAGTAATGCATTTTAAATAGAAAATGCATTATTAATAACTGAGTTCCATTAACTAACCCTGGCCTCCAGTTTCTGGACCTGCTTCTTGCCTCCCTTCATGGCGATCTGCTCAGCCTCATCCAGACGGTGCTGCAGGTCCTTGATGGTCTGGTCCATGTTCTTCTTCATGCGCTCCAGATGAGCACTGGTGTCCTGCTCCTTCTTCAGCTCCTCTGCCATCATGGCAGCATCAGTGATGGCCTTCTTGGCTTTTTCCTCGGCATTCCTGTTCTCCTGCACTGCCTCCTCAACCTCAGTCTGAAGCTGAGTATTATCCCCCTCCAGCTTCTTCTTCTGATTCAGCAGGCTGGTGTTCTGAACATGAACAATATTTACATTCATGTAGTCTATTTGATATTGATATTAGGAATGGGTTTAAAGGTTTTATTTGTCTAATGCAGATGTGTCATACCTGAGAATGTAGGAGCTGAACTCTCTCACTGACATCCAGCAGTTCCTGCTCAGCCAGTTTCCTTCCTCTCTCAGTTTGTTCCACCATGGATCTCAGCTCATCCAGTTCAGCCTGCTGCAGATTGTTGCGTCTCTCCACAATGGCGATGTTCTCTTTGAGATCATCATTACTACGAAGAGCGTCATCTAGTTGCAGTTGGGCATCCTGTGAAATAAACATTTTACAGATTAAAAGACAGCAAAGCTATGTTCACCTAATCATTATAAAATCTTGATTTGAAGATTTGTCATACTTTGAGATGTCCATGAAGACCCTTGAGTTGCTTCTGGGCTTCTGATGCCTGTCTGTTAGCCTGGCTGAGCTGAATCTCCATCTCATTGAGGTCTCCCTCCATCTTCTTCTTCAGTCTGAGAGCTTCATTCCTGCTGCGAGTCTCTGATTCCAGTGAGCTTTGCAGGGTATCCACCATTCTCTGCTGGTTCCTCTTGGCCTGCTCCATCTCTTCATCTTTCTCCGTCAGCTTACGTTCAATATCAGCTTTGACCTGATTGAACTCCAGCTGAGCTCTAAGTATCTTTCCTTCCTCATGCTCAAGTGAGCCCTGACCAATTAAAAAAATACTTATCCATTAGAAATTACAGAACCCAATCAAAGGCACCAAATGTCTTCTTGCTGGTGTATAACTAGAAAAACTAGACCTACTACATTTATACATAACTAATTTACCTCAGCCTCTTCCAGAGCTGCTTGAATTTCAGTTTTCTCCTGCTCCAACTGCTTACGAATTTTCTCTAGTTCATGTATGTTTTTTCCACTCTCGCCAATTTGTTCAGTGAGCTCAGCAATCTCCTCTGTTTGGTAGGAAAAGTAATACTGGTTAATATATAAGAAAGGTTTATGAAATGTATGTGAAAGCCCAGATGACCAATAAATCAACGGCACCTTGGAGGTTCTTGTTTTCTCTCTTCATGGTTTCCAAATGATCCAGAGACTCCTCATAGGAGTTCTTCAGTTTGAATAGTTCAGTACTCAGAGATCTGGCTTCCTTCTGGGAGCTTTCCAACTCGCTCTGAGACTCCTCGTATTTCTGCTTCCATTCAGCTAGGACCTGTTGAAAGAATCCGACTTTGATTAGTTAACCATTGGAGCTGCAGACTGATCTCATGAAATGGCGTATGTATGACACGCTAATTCATATTTCCATTTTCGGCGTGCTATATCAACATGAATGATCGATTTTCAGCGTGTTTATGAACACCGTTGACTTAACGTCACATTACTGTATATATAAATATAGGACCTACCCCAACCCAGTCCCTAAATCTACCCGCAAGTGGGGTTAATAACATTTATGAGCCTTCCCCTACCATCCTAGGAAAAAATATCGCTCCCCAGATGTAGATCTACATTTTGCTTTGTTTCGCTCGCGCATTTAACAGCGTAGACATACACGCAGATAGTTCAAAATGCGTATAGATAACATGCCACTTGACTTGAAAGTGGCGTGTATGTTTACGCAAAAGTCATGATGCCATGTTGGGAGCTGAATGAACACAAAGATTATTTATCTGTAAGGGTTTTATGCAATGACCTTGTCAAAGTTTCTTTGCTTCTTGTCCAGAGCAGCAGCAGCAGCATTGGATCTCTCCACATCCACCATGAGATCTTCAATCTCATTCTGCAGCCTGTGCTTGGTCTTCTCCAGAGAGGAGCATTTAGCATTGACAGCTTCCACAGCTTCTTCTGCATCTTGCAGACGCTGAGCAAGTTTCTTCCTACAAATATAACACAGAAGCATTACTTTAAAATGTTTTTGTTTTCTTTTGTTACATATTTTTTTAATAAGATTGTAGGTTTTTCATACTTGGCATCCTCCAGCTCCTCAGTCCTCTGGATGGCATCAGTTTCATACTTGGTTCTCCACTGAGCCACTTCAGAGTTTGCCTTGGACAGACTACGCTGTAGCTCAGCCTTGGCTTCTTGCTCCTCCTCATATTGCTCCCTCAGCAGATCAGCATCATGACGAGCAGACTGAACTGCATGGGCCAGGGCATTCTTAGCCTGTAAAATATTTACAATTAATGTTTTCTGTGAATGGGAATGTCCCTTTCAGGCAGGTGGGTTTAAATCCCACTGCTCCTAGAAGATCTACTGGGTGACCGGGTAGTGTTGTGCTTTAGGTGTATGACTGCTACACTGTGTTACCCTAGCCTTGTGAGTTCAAGAACCAACATTGGTTGAAATACCTTGATCTCCTCCTCTAGTTGTCTCTTGAGGTCTTCAATCTGCTGGGTGTAGGACTGCTTGCCTCTTGTTAGCTGAGAGACCAATGAATCCTTTTCTTCCAGCTGTCTAGAAAGCTCCCCTAGATAGAAGTATAACCAGTACATTACATAAAGTAGTGTGTGGTCTTGATAATTAGTCTAACAATACACAGGATTAAGTATTTCCTAATCAGAGTACATACCATTTTCAGTTTGTAGCTTAGCTTTTTGCATGGTAAAATCATTGATGCTGCGTGTTCCTTCTTCGTATTTTGTTCTGTATTCTGACATCTGGTCCTCAAGAGTCCTGAACATTTTCTCCAAGTTCGCCTGGATAGATATTATATAATTAATTAATACCAAATAAACCAAAAAGAACATGTGATTCTAAAGAACATCTGAGGTGAAGAAAAACTGTTAAAAATGCTAACATGGAAACAAGAATTCATCACCTTTGCCTTGGCAAGCTGCTCCATGTTAGAGACCACATCGTCCAGTTCCAGTCTGAGTTCACTCTTCTCTTTCTCCAGCTTCTGCTTCACTCTCTGGAGGTTGTCAATCTGCTCCCCCAGATCAGCCACACTGTCTGCATGTTTCTTCCTCAGTGTAGCCGCAGTGGACTCATGTTGCAGAGTGGACTCTTCAAGGTCTCTGCGCAGTTTCTGGAACTCAGCTTCACGTTTCTTGTTCATCTCAATCTGGGCAGCAGTGGCTCCACCAGCCTCCTCCAACCTCTCGCTGATCTCCTCCAGTTCTCTGGACAGATCAGCTCTCTGTTTCTCAACTTTAGCACGAGCAGCTCTCTCAGCCTCCAGCTCTTCCTCAAGCTCTTCAATTCTAGCCTGGAAATGTGAGGAAAGCCAAAGTTGAATTAGATAGAACTCTTAATTGTCTACATTTTTAAGAATCATACATTTTACCTGCAACTCCTTCAGTTTCTTCTGGAGTTGGGCTGCCATTGCCTGCTCATCTTCAATCTTGCTACTGAGCTGGTTGATCTCAAAATCCTTCCTGTGTTGCAGAACATATTTGATTAATAGTATTAATAAGGATTCAGATTGTGAGCTGTATTGTTAAGTAATTATTTTCCCCTCTGGATAACACACTTTTTAATCCTCTCTTCCATTTGCTGTTTGTCATTTTCCAGATCCATCACGCTCTCTTGGGTCAACTTTAAGTCTCCCTCGAGCTTCCTCTTTGCCCTCTCCAGATCCATACGAAGCTTCTTTTCCTGTTCCAGGGAACCCTCAAGCTGGAAGGACAATATTTTGTTCAGCATTGTAAATGTCACCCTTTTCATTTACAATAGAAATGTTAAGAATACTTCTCACATCATCCACTTGTTGCTCCAGTTTGGTTTTGGCTTTGGTGAGTGTGTTGACTTTGTCTTCCTCACTCTGGAGGTCATCCAGCGTTTGCTGATGGGCCTCCTGAAGAGCTTTCTTCTCCTTGGTCAGCTTAGCGATGATTTCATCCAAAGCTGCCATCTCTTCTGTCAGGTTTTTAACCTGTAGAAATGTGTTATTGCATCAAGGGAATCTTAACTCACCATTATAGCATCACTAACAGGTTCAGTGCTGAAAACTGACCTTGTTCTCAGTGGCATGTTTCTCTTTCTCCACTTTGGCCAGAGTGAGCTCAAGATCATCAATGTCCTTCTTGAGCTCAGAGCATTCATCCTCCAGTTTTCGTTTCTTTGCAGTCAGCTCAGAATTCATCTCCTCTTCATCCTCCAGTCTCTCAGTCATTTCTTTGACTTTGGCCTCGAGCTGGATCTTATTCTTGATCAGACCCTCACATCTCTCCTCAGCATCACAAAGATTATCTTGCTCCTGTTTACAGGTACAAAAAACGACGTATATTTATTTTAATGTCTCTGTACAATTCAATCAAAAGTATAGATTTATAAAATCATAATCATACAGCTTGGACTTGGAGTTGCAGGTCATTCTTCTCTTGGATAAGAGAAACCATCTTTTCCTCAAGCTCCTTTCTGCGGGCTTCAGATTTGGCATAAGCCTCCTTCAACTTCAGGAATTCTTCCTTCATGTTGGCCATTTCTTTCTCCGACTCAGCAGATCTCAGCAGTGGCTTGATCTTGAAGTAGAGCTTCATCCAGGGCCAATTCTTGACACCCATGAAGGCTCGTACATTCCACTGGATCACAAGCAAGGCATCTCTGCAAAATAAAACTGTTCTTTTTGTCTCTTTTTATGATGCAGTGACAGATTTAAATGCCCACCCAGTTACCTTCGTTCAACAAGCTTCTGGAATTCAAGTCTTGCGAGAAGACCACGTGATCTAGCTTGAATATTGGTGATGATGAGAGCAAGACGGTCGTCTCTCATTTCTTCAAGTGTACCCAGTAGACCAGCCTTGAAGAACACCTTAGAAATAATTGATTTCAGTAAATCAAAGGCACCCATGCACAAACAAATAGAGCAATGCTGCAAGTGCCCCTGAGACATGGTACACATTTTAAGGATGACAGCCTTCTAATAAATTACTTATAGTTGTCTCAGCACATTAATATGGGATAGGATAACATTTTAAAACTTGAATTAAACAGATTTACACAATCTACAAAGCAATTACCAATTAGAATATATACCTTTGTATGTCCAAATTTGTACTGGTTGTGGTCAATTTCCAAAGACCCCAATAACTTCTCAGCTCCTTTCCTGCTGTCAATGAACTGACCATCTGGGATGGCAGCAGGGTTAAGGATACGGTATCTGTTGTTGAATATTTAAAAAATAAAGTTTAAATAGTGTCGATTTTGCCACTGTTTTTAAACAAGCTAAATTATTTAATGGGATTTAATATTTGTCATTTACACACATTTGTGTAATTTGAAAATGTCAAGTCTCATTGCATAACTTTTTTAAAGTAAAGTAAAGTTTTTGACCCAAGTGCGACTCGCATGTCTCGTATTTGTAAGTGAATGTACCTCTGCTTGAAATCTCCATACAGGATCCTGTTGGGGAATCCCTTCCTGCAGATCCTGATGCCCTCCAGCACACCGTTACAGCGCAGCTGGTGCATGACCAGAGGATTCTCCATCGCCCCAGGAGTCTTAGTCTCATTGGGGATGAGGCAGCGCACAAAGTGAGGGTGAGTTGACCTTAAGTTGGTCATCAGCTTGTTCAGGTTCTCCTGTGGATAGATATTGTCCATGGCTCTTACCATATATATATAAATATATTAGGTCATGCTGTTTAAATAAATTAAGAAACCAAGCTATACTAAATAATACAGTTCATTATGAATCAGCATGGAAACCACTCTATATTTTACCCTGTGGAGGGCAGACACTGTCTGAAAAGAAGAGCCCTTTTTCTTCTTCTCCTTTCCTTTGCCACCTCCTCCCTCTGCTGCTGTTGAATAATTGATCATTTTTAAAATGAAACTTGCACTAAATTCTTATTTGTTTCAAGGATCATGTCATCAGCACAACCTGAGTCAGCGCCAGCATAATTAGCAAACAGCTGAGCCAGAAGTTTCATGGTGGACTTCTGATAGAGGCCAACAACAGTCTCATTAAGAGGGTCCTTGTTCTTCACCAGCCAGTTATTGATGTTGTAATCCACAGTGCCAGCGTAGTGAACCAGGGAGAAATGAGCCTCTGGTTTACCCTTGACAATCCTGGGCTTCTGGAAGTTGTTTGATTTCCCCAAATGGTTGTCATAAAGCTTAGCTTTAAATGTTGCATCACTGGCTTTGGGGAACATGCACTCCTCTTCAAGGATGGACATGATACCCATGGGCTATAGAGAAGGCAACAAAATGTAAATTAAGAGTTAAATAAAGCTTCAAAATTAGATATTCAGAAAAAAGGTTTTGTACACCCACCTTTTCAATGAGATCAATGCAAGCCTGCAAGTCCATGCCGAAGTCAATAAACACCCACTCAATGCCCTCCTTCTTGTATTCCTCTTGCTCCAGCACAAACATGTGGTGGTTGAAGAACTGCTGCAACTTCTCATTAGTGAAGTTGATGCACAGCTGCTCAAAGGTGTTGGACTGCAGGTGGAATATAACGTATAATCACAATGGTCAAACAGATTGGACTCCTTGTTGGATTTGTTCTTGAATAATAATAACATCAGCTTACATCAAAGATCTCAAATCCAGCAATGTCCAGCACACCAATGAAGTACTGGCGAGGCTGTTTGGTGTCCAGGGATTGGTTGATTCTCACAACCATCCAGAGGAACATCTTCTCGTACACTGACTTTGCCAGAGCACCAATAGAGTAGTACACCTGTCCGATAGACATTAAAATGTTACCGGATAATGTGTTTTTATGGTTATGTGAACAATATGTTATGAAGGGATGTTAATCATGATGTAGTCTCCACCTGCTGGACATTCTGTCCCTTGGTGACCCACTCATTTCCTACTTTGACTCTTGGGTGGCACAGAGCCTTGATGAGATCAGCAGAGTTCAGGCCCATCAGATATGCAACTTTGTCAGCATCTGTCATCAATTACAGATTTTAACTGATATTAACCACTAACTGTATGCATTATGTCAGCATTTTATCCTAATACTGACCCTCAGTCCCATCAGCCTCGGCCTGTTCCTCTCTTTGCTTCTGCTTGAACTTCATGTTGCCGTAGTGCATGACAGAACCAGTCAGCTTGTAGATGCTGTTCTTCTCCTCTTGGGTGAAGCCCAACACATCGAACGCTTCCTACAGCAAATTAATTGAACATGATAAATGTGTCATATTCTTGTATTTTCAGTAAAAATGAATCTAAAAGATGTTACGTCAGTGGCCATCAGCTCATCGGCATCAATGATAGAGGCCACTTGTGTCTCTCCTTGAGAGATGAAGGCGTAATCATAGGGGTTTGCTGTGATCAGCAGCATCTCTGAGAGAAAGGACACAGAGCACTTAGACAACATGTTATAATGCATTTTCAAACAAAATTATAGATGCCCACCTAAAAGTTCTGGTTTCTTCTGAGACAGGATCTGGTAGAAGATGTGGTAGTCTCTCTCAGCCTTGAGCTGGAAAGTCACACGAGACTTCTCCAAAAGGTCTGTCACAGAGAACTTTTGTTTAAAAATCATTACTATCATGCATTTATTTTCATTATTTTAAGATGAAACTAAGCATAAGTGTTCCTACAAGTCTCGATATCTGCAGAAGCGAGTTTGCCATTTGCTGCGAAATGAATGCGGATGAACTTGCCCTGTTTGAAAAGATAAAAATTGTTGAAGTAAAAGCTGTATTCAGTTTTTACTATTTCATTCACTCACAAATCGAGAAGAGTTGTCATTCCTGATGGTCTTGGCATTCCCAAAAGCCTCGAGAGCAGGATTACATTGGATGATTTGATCCTCCAGAGTACCCTAGAAAACACAATATTAGAAATTTGTGTACGGTGAACGGCAACGTTCGCGTTTGAGTTCAGATCTCCTCTGTTTACCTTCTTTTCACTGGTGTCCTTCTTTGAAGGACTAGCAGCAATGCTGGCAAAGTACTGAATGACTCTCTTTGTGTTCACAGTCTTTCCAGCACCAGATTCTCCACTTGAGGTCGAAAGATCAAATGTTAAGCACCACACAGTTTTAAAAACAACTATTATAGAAAGTGTTACGCAGAAGCAGACTTACGTGATAAGAATAGACTGGTTTTCTCTGTCTGAAATGAGCAATGAAAATATGAAACAATACAGTTACATTATAAACAAACTCTGTTCTGTTTTTAAGCGGTCCTGAAAAACGGGTTTAAAAACACTGAATGCATTTAACTCTTTACCCGCCATTGATAAGATTTTCCGCCGTGGATTAGCATTAGGGCTGTGACGCTTCAGGGGTGTTGATCGACTCAATCTACTGCGTCTGATTTATTTGGTATTCATTCTGGATCCAATCCGGATGAATTTTTTTTTGACAAAAACATGATTTCCTTTTTATGAAATTTGCACACCTCAAGTGTGTAATAAAATATTTTTTTGTTCAGAAGCTCTGTTCTTTCTTTTGATGTTTTGTCCGTTCAGATATGTATACAACAAAATATTTTAGGGCCCCTAGGAATTTGTGAAAAGATTAAATGCTAGTAGTGGCTGCAACTTAATTTTTTTTAAATGCTGGTGGGGAAGACTTAATTAAAAGCAACTAACCAAACAATTATGCCTAGTTAGATTAGCAAACTACTTCATGTGCTTTTCAAAATGCACATGAAAAATGCAAAAAAAAACACTTCCAATATTTTTGATTAGTCATACATCAAACTGTTTCTATGAATCTGTCACTTGATAGAAGCTAGTCAAATTGCAAGTAAAACCACTTGAGAACCACTGGTGTTCATTAGACGCACCTGACAGCATGTACTGGTAGGCATTGTCTGAGATGGAGAAGATGTGAGGAGGAGCTTCACTCCTCTTCTTGCCTCTGTAAGCAACAACGACTTCCTGGTTGTACACTGGCAGCCACTTGTAGGGGTTCACAGTGACACAGAAGAGCCCAGAGTAGGTCTGTAAGAGATTCACAGAAGGTTTAGATCTGCTCATGCAAGATAAAGAGAATGTGTGAGTGAGAGTCGACTCTGAGTCTATGAAATGAATTGTTTTTGAAACGAGTCATTAGCTGGTTTGTAGTGACGTAGAGACATATTGGCCACGCCCAGTTACTGCGCGCGCAGACGGAAGTGTAAACTTGAAGTCTACACATTCAAATACTTCATCATAGCATCATGTCGAGAAAACGCTGTGTTCTACAATGCAAAGATAGTTCAGCTACTTTGTTTTCATTTACCAGGGACGAGCATGTGAAGAATCGGTGGTTAGAGTTCATATTTGCAACGATACCACAACAGTATAGCCCGATTGTGTTCTCATCATTTTATTGACGAATAACGTTAGTTCAAAAACATAAATGAATTCAAATGTGTATTCGCGAGCGGTTGTTGCTGAAGGAGGGCTCAGTAACTCACTTACCCAGTGTATATGGATCAGCTTCCTCCTTCGAATCACAACCTGTAAGTATTATTAATAATTGTTGCTTTTATGGGTTTTGAACGGTTTGTTGCGTCGGGGCGCGAGGCACTATGTGTGTGCGCGTGTATCTGTGTGTTTGTGTGTGTGTGTGTGTAAGTTACGCTCAGCGCAGCTTCTAGGTCTCCAATGTCAATTTTTTTTAAATATGTGAAATGTTTGTCGCTGTTATTGGAGTTGTCATAAAGAATAGAGCGTCTTGTAGTACTGCAGTGCTTTATCAATATGTTTATGCGTTATGATAACAAACAATAACTGACTGGGTCTGACATCAGACCAATCACTGCCGATTAGCGTCACTCAAAGGAGTGGTTTGGAAAAATGAGTCGTTGTACGAATCATTTGGGAGTCGGTGAGCAAATCAGTTAAAAATAAATGCATATTGTAAGACAAATAAAGTGTTTTTTTATCCTTGCATGCACGTAACACTGTTTTTGGGAACTCCTAAAACAAAAATAGGAACATTTCAAATGCTATGATAGGGGCTCTTTAAGACTCCACTCACGTAGATCATCCAGGCTGCGTAACGCTCTTTGAGGTTAAACAGCACTGCGGGCTCGTGCAGGAAGGTGAACATCGCCATGTCCTCGATTTTATCGAACTTTGGCGGGTTCTGGGGGTGAACATCAGCCTCCTTCACAGTAACTGTCTGTAAAAGGCACATACTCCAAGAGTTGTTACTCACTACTAACATTACTAATGTAGTGAAGGAATAATCAAAAACGTGTTTAACTTGAACCTACTTTGCCTTTTTCAGTCTCGCAGGTGACTTTATCACCGTCCCGACTCACAATGGTTCCTTTCACGTACTCCTCCTCAGGATCAGGGACGAAGCATTCTTTCTTCATGTCGAAGGGGCGCGTTTGGGCCTCCAGTCGCTCCCGGTCTGATTTCCTGAGGAACGGAGCAGCAGCTCCAAACTCCTCCATCGCGACATCTCCCATCTTTCACCTCGACTGCTGTTTATGAGTGAATGCAAACTGATCACGGAATGACATATAGGAGCATATTTGGACACTTAAGAAACAATGCCATTTTCAATAAACAAACATTCAAAGTAGAGCCCGACCGATAAAGGATTTTGAAGGTCGATACCGATACAAATATTTGTTGGTTTTAAAATCCGATATTCCGATATATCGGCCGATATTTTTATTTATTTATTTATTTTTTTTCAGAAACGCGCAACAAAACATTAACAGATTTCCCAAACATTAGTTATTTGTAGTTATTTATGAGTTTTAACTAAAATAATATGATAATGCATCTTAAAAAGAAACTTGTTCCTTTTATTGTCACAACAGAACAGACTGATGATAGTGGCGTTAGCTAGCTTTATGGTTAGCTAGTCTATGATGAGCCATAATTTAGCAATGGATAACGTCATACTGCAAATTGTAAAACATACATTTTCAATATAACAGGCCAAGGAGAGATGATGCGTCTCATTGCTATAACGGTCAGCGCTATTAAAGAAATACTTCAGTCACATTGTCGAAAAGTTAAAAGGACAGTCAGTCAACTACACGTAACTATTACTAGCTAATTCCGCTTCACTCTCGGCAGCAAAACTGGACATGATAGTCACAAATTTTGTCATCCTTATTTGAGTTAAGAGAACTGATGGGGATGTTCTTTTAATTGTTATTCAAGCAATGTACGTCTCGTCATGACCAACTCAACGAGGGACTGTGTAGAGTGCCCTCTGGTGGACAAACTATACAACCCCAACACTCATGACATGGTTGAAGCGTGTTTCGTCTGTTTTTATTTTTATTTTTGAAATATCCATTTATCGGCCATTATAACTGCCGATACCGATAGTTTGGAAAATGCCTAAAAACGGCCGATAATATCGGCCTACCGATATATTCAAAGCTTTAAAATTAATTTTATAAAATAGTAACAAAAAAGTGCATGCAAAGAAATTGAACTATGCATTACAGGAAACACTAAAAAACATCTATCATACATATTTCTAAGTGATATTAAACATGCTTCAAGCCACAATCAATCCTTTCCCTACTGTATTGTTAATGACGCTGAATTGCTGTTACGATGTAAAACAACTGCACAAACGTCATTATAAAACATGCATTACGACCATGAAACAGTAATATCAGATGCTTTACCTCTGACCGCTTCCTCCAGAGAATCACTGCAAACACTGCCCTACAAACAAGGCATTAACATGAACTCCAAAGTCATCATAACTTCCTTATGACTCGTATAATATTTTGAATTACCTGTTTACAAGTTGTAGGCTTGAGGGAAAGTTAAATGGCTGAAGCTGAAGATCCTCTCGATAAAGTGTCCTTCCTCTCTTTTATAAAGCGACTATCTATCTAAATAAGGCAGTTGGCAACTCGTTATGCCAAACGGCTATTGTGCTCGGTTTGGCTGATGTAGGGAGGGATAAGCATAGTTTTTCACATAGTCATTCCACCACTGCCAACGACATCTCATAATGGAAAATAATTACTGGGGGACAATCACTAACACAAACCTCAACACAGTCCTAAAATCAAGCCAATCTGAAAAACACAACATTATTAGCTTATGTTGGGTGCATGCATACCTCTGTTTGTGTTCTTATGAAAGTCACAGGCTAATCACCAGATGGGTAAGTAATCCTAATAAAGTCACTTTTGAAATTCAACAATGGTGTTCGCTTGCATTCATTTTCTCCTGCAGCTCTATTTCCCATGTTATGAGGACATATGAGGCAACGATAGTAAAATGACTTGCTATTAATGGGATTGTATTTTCAGGGACACACAATTACTAAGAACCGCACAGAATTAGAAATTGCAGTGTTATTCAACAACAGATGAAATGATTCGTTGCTTCGCTGGCACAGGATCGTCGTCTCATTTGTCCTTGGGTATAAAGATAACCCTGTGAAATTCTTGGAAAGTGACGAGAATGATTGCGAATCAGTAGTTGGGCTGTAGACAGCAGCACATCCATCTGGGGAACGTTTTACTGAAAGATAAATATAAATAAGGGAAGCGTGATGGACCACTTCGTTTCATTGCAGCTGTGGTATTCTGTGCATGCGTCCACTGTCACAAGACGAGCGAGACAAATGGGGTGTCGTCTTTCTGTCGGATCAAACGTTTGGTTGCCGTCCCAGTACAGCTGCACATGTGCCCTTGTCATGTATGAGGTAAGTATTAGTTGGTTTTCTAACTCTGGTCTAGTTCATTTCTTACTGACATTAAAAACACTGAAATTAAATCACTTCAATCAGGGAAGAAGTGTTCGTAGGCTGTGCAAAAATTAATTGCGATTAATCGCATCCAAAATAAAAGTTTGTGTTTACAATATATGTGTGTGCTGTGTATGATTATTTTATATATATAAATACATATGCATGCATGTATATATTTAAGATTTTTTTGTGCTTAAATTCTGTGTGTATATATATATATATATATACAAAATCTATATTATATAAATAATTTATATATGAATAACACATTTTCTTAAATTTATACATGCATGTGTGTGTATTTATTTGTACAAAATAATTATATACAGCACACACAAATATATTATGTAAACACAGACTTTTATTTTGGATGCGATTAATCGCAATTAATTTTTGCACAGCCCTAATTATAACTCATTGTTTCCCAACAGAGAAAGTAAGTTTGTTTGAATGGCAAGTTGTGACACTATTATTAGATGTCCTGCCAAGTGAAGACAAGCAAGCAGCAAAGGTCACGCGTTAACAAGGTGCAAGTGTTCAACAAGTGTTCATGCCTTCATAACGTCTACAATCACACCCTGAGAGACTCTCATTAGGACGATTAGTCAATTGAGCGTCAGTACAGTATGAGAGAGGACGAAAGCGGCCAGCTGTCTGAGAAGCCGAACGGTAATTCAATAGATCTACAATGCTGAGTTTGTCTCTGATTTATAGTGCATTGTCTAATAGTACACTGAAATGCAAAAGCGAATTATTTTCATATTTTATATTCATATTTTCAACATTTTATAGACATTTCACTCTACTGCTCATGACTAGCACTAGCACCTATCACTCTGCCATGACTTCAGTAAACAAGGAATTTATGACTCTGAAATCATTTGAAAACTTTAAAGACTGACATATGGAATAATACGGTGCTTGTTGATTATATTTGATACATCAGGCTTTTATGGCTCACGGTACGATATCGTGAGAATATGGAGCTCATACTCAAGGTAGCAGAAACAGCAAAAATGTACAATTTGGTTCAAATGCTGATGTTTATATAGACAGACACGAGGAAATTCTGATGCTTGTAATGTAAATCAATGAGATCTTTATAGACTGCGATCATAAAATCATCTAAATATCAGTCAACAATGTCTTAGTAAGATGATATTTAAATGCTTAGTTTTATGATCAAAGCTCTAGTTTTAAAACGTGCAATGCAATGCAATACATTGGACACATAAAGCTTGATGCATGTGAACATGTATGGATAATCAAATAAATGCACGTTGCTTCATTGAATTCACTGGATGGTCATATACCTTTTCACCGCAAAATGGGGGTAAAAAATCACACGGTGTAGCTTTACAGTAACACAAAATGCACAAATTTAAACTGCTTTAACTAAATTTACACACAAGCTCAAACAAGACCAAAACATTGGATTTTTACTGCCAAATTTACCAATGTCCAGATAACACCATGTTCTAAACCTAACCTTACAGGCTGAAGTCAAGGTAAACATCTTATATTGTGAATTGAAAGTTAAACACAAACATATCCCCTGTGTTTTATTCTAGTGTCACTGAGAAACAGCTGATTGAAATATGCAAATATGTGGCATTTCACATAGGCATTTTCTTTGCCCATTACTCCCCTTTCCCTTCCTTATCCTGGAGATTGAAGGTTTTTGACCATCGTCCACAGGACCAAATATCCCTCCTGGATGCAATGCCAGGACATCACAGAACACAGCCAGCGGTGGATAAGGAACGCCAAATAATTCTTCCCAACAAGCTTTGCCAGAGAAGTGTGTGACGTGGATGAGAACATGTGGCCAAATAGAGAAGACCGGGATGATTAGAAGATGGCTTTTTCTGTTTTGTATTTTCACATACAGTAGTAATTCTGTAAATGACAGCTATTGCATACTTTTGTTATTTTGCAGAAATGTCCTGTTGCAAATAAAGCCTTTACTGCATCAATACTTCTTTTTTTTAGAAACCATATATTCTACACTGCTACTCAGAGAAGGGTCATTTATTTTTTTGTATTGAATTTCTACAGCAAAGGAAACAAAATGCAGACATTTGCTAAAACAAAACTGTAGAGAGGCTTCAACAGAAACTGCAGTGAAACAATCTATGCATCAATACAATATACTGTCTTTTGTATAAGGGCAGACCTGACATATAAAATAATGCAGTGTCATGGTAGTGTTTTTATGACATTGTGCTATGATTGACCAAATGTCCCTGTTGGAAGAGAGCGCGTTTTTGTGTTTTGGTAGACAGTTTATTGTGTTAGTGTATTATTGTTTTTTGAAAATTAGAGTTGGAATTTAGTATACAGTGTGTGTTATGAGCTAGCCTATGGAATTAACCATTTTGCCAATTGTGTGTTGTTGGTGTGTTGTGCGTTAAGAGTTTAGGAAATAAGTATTGAAAAAATTGTCATAGCAAATGTAAATAACTGTAATAGTATAGCCTACACAGACGGATGTAGTGCTAACTGTGTTAAGAGTTTTGGAAAATTGTTAAAAGTATTGAAAAATCTGTCATAGCAATTGTAAAAAACTGTAAAAATCTTAGTTTAGCATAACAATTAAACAACGCTCGACACTTTGCGTTGTATGTATTTATTTTTTAAACAAAGAAAAACGATGTTTCTTATACTATATTTCGACACAACATTTAACTGCATGTTCTAGCACGTATTTATACTTTATTCATAGCTCTTCAGCACATCACGCTCCCGCGCTGGCGGGTATTCTTGGCGTGACGGAAGTGACGTCACGGCGTCAACATGTAAGATGGCGACGCATCACAGGCAGAATGCAGCGGGGCGCAGGAAAGTGCAGGTGACTGTTTCACACTCGCGTGTGGGCTTGTGGTGTGTGTGTGTTATTTGTGCAATGATAGTAGTGTTCACACTGTAGATCGCTGTGGTATCGGTTGTTTTAAACGTGTGTGTGTTTGTGTGGCGCAGAGGGAGGTGGAGGCCAGGCTGTGTCTCAAAATATAATGTGTTGCCTACCAGACTGCAATTTTGGGGCGTTTTGAGTCAGGTGTCTAAATACTGCATACGAAGTCTGTATGGATAGCTTACTGCCACCCGTGATAACATAAATTCGATGTGGCGGAGTTTAAATGACTGTTATTGGCTGCAAATGGAAATATGTAGCCTGGTTTGTGCACAGATTTCGATTCTATAAGGTCACTTCGTGTCATTATGGCAATAATCCTTTTATACATGATGAACATATGGGAATATGCTTACGGACTAACTTACATGACCATTCAAGCACACAGCATAGGCACTGAACACAGTCACGTGGTTACCATGCACATAGCAATAATGAACATTTGAAGATCTACACATATGTAACTTATAGGTTACAAAATATGAGTATGGTATTGCTATATCGTGCCTTGATGCTGCACACGCATTTTCCATGTGTTTGTCATAAAGCTGTTTTTGCTTTCCATTAAAAAAAGTCTATAAATAACTCAATTACACAAATAAACAATGACTTAACCTTCAGAATTGTGGGGATTTTTAAAATAAACTTAGTCAAATAAAAAAAGTGCTTCATCATTCTGAAAAAATTATATTTTATTGTCATGTGTAATATATAATTGAATACAAGTAAGGAGTAAAAAAAGGGCTAGAAATAAAATTAACAAGTCTTTTCTTAAGTGTTATTCTCAGATGGCTTGTATATTAGGCTCTCTCTATATATATGCCCTCATTTAAACGCATTATACCGTGCTCACATTTTAGTTCTATATTTTACCTCAGTCTTATGCTTCTTATTAAAAATAAAAGCTAAATGGGTCTGCGTGAATCATAAATCATGAATTTATTCTGCATGAATCATAAGTGGCATCAAAAACAGTGTATTAACACTGTTAATACACTGTAGGTGTCTTTGTTTCCGCAGTATTTTCAATTTTGACATTTTTCAGTCAAACCGTTGTTGTCTATCAGTCATACACTGGAGGCTAAGGGGGTCCACCAAAGAGAAGTCCAAATTAAACATGATTTAATGACTCGTAAATGTAAGTACACATTGATGGCCTAAGACACGAAACGAGCGGTTTGTGTGAGAAAACCAACAGTATTTATATCGTTTTTACCTCTTGTAATTAGGGCTGGGCGATATGGCCCAAAAAAATTATCACGATAATTTTTTTTATATCAGTCGATATCGATAATTATCACGATATATGTCAAATATTTATTTTTTTAAGTTTAAAGGCAGATTTTTGTAACTAAGTGAAAGTTGTATAAACCAGAGTGTTAATTGTGTTTTTAAACTACTCTTTAAATTTATGTTCATTAACAAAAACAGTAACATCTGTTTTTTTGTTGTTGCAACAACCATATTTTTATGTGGTAAAAAGTTATATTCTGACTGTTTGAGTTGTATTCAAATTAACCATTGGTCATCCAGTATCATGCATTTTTAGATCATGATAACCACAGATAAAACCAGTTATAGCCTTAGCTCCTCACTATAATGGCATAAATTTATGGTTTCTGTATTTTTTGTATGAAAAACAATAGCCTAACAGTTAAATACATTATTAAATACTGTACTTATATTCCATTAGTCATAATACATTGTCTACATTAATAATATTATACAATATGTATATTCCACATTTCATGGTGCAGTTAATATTACCAGGCTAACCCTACAGTAAATCCATGGGAAGCTAAATGGATTCAGTATCAATTCAGTTTTTTCCTTTTTGTCAGCGGTGTTTCATCTGCCTTTAAACTGGTTTAAACTTGACATTTGTGTTCTTCGCTGAACTCAAGTGCTTCTCACTGGATCTCGTGAGCAAAACGATCAGAGGCGCGTCTGCGTGAGCTCGCGCTGCACTCAGTGCGCTGCCATTTGGACTTTGACCCGAGCGGATAAATGCTCCGTGTGGCGCGCGCGGTTAAATGAGTTTCGTTCCGCTTTTGACGCATAAACATTATCGAACAATTATCGACCTCTTGATATCGTTTTATCGAGGAAAATTATATCGCGATAATTATCGTTATCGTTTTATCGCCCAGCCCTACTTGTAATCACAGTGATCTGAATCAGTTGAACTGAACCGAACTGAATCAGTTCAATGTTACGCCGGAAGTGATCGCTTGCGTGTGACGTCACTCAATATTTACACGGAGATTTCGTGAGTTTTACCTTTTACTAAATATATTTAGATATACCGAAATCGTCTTCCATTGCGGTTTCCCGTATATCTAAATATGTTTAGTGAAAGGTAAAACTTCCCAAATCTCTGTATAAACAAAGAGTGACGTCACACGCAAGCGATCACTTCCAGACCGAAGCGCCCGTGCCGTCAGATCATTTTGTCATGGCTGTGATTACAAGAGGTAAAAACGATATAAATACTGTTCGTTTCGTGTCTTAGGCCATCAATGTGTACTTGCATTTACGAGTCATTAAATGATGTTTAATTTGGACTTCTCTGTGCTGCTCTTTGGTGGACCCCCTTAGCCTCCAGTGTATGACTGATAGACAACAACGCTTTGACTGAAAAATGTCAAAATTGAAAATACAGCGGAAACAAAGACACCTACATCTCAGATGCCCTTGAGGTAAGATAAAACATCAAAAAATTAATTTCAAAGTGAACTAAAGTGCCTTTAAGTGACTAAGCATATTTTTTGTCTTGTGTGCCGTTAATGTCTTTCATAGTTTATCCATGTAAACATGTTAAAAGATGATTTTAAAAAAAAACTTGCATTTTGAGGAATTTATTTTTTAGGTTAAATACTATTATGACACATCAAATACATGATCACTGTGCATTTATATTTATTTCTTCATTTATATACTGCACTGTGCGATTAATCGTAATGCATACATGCCGTCCGATTAATGGGTAAGATGGCTAGCTCTGAGCATGTGTGTGTTGCAGGTGTCCTATGTGATCAGAGACGAGGTGGAGAAATATAATCGTAATGGAGTCAACGCACTACAGCTGGATCCAGCTCTTAACCGGCTCTTCACCGCCGGACGAGACTCCATCATCAGGATATGGAGCGTCAACCAGCACAAGGTGAGCCCGTCGATCATGTGACGTCCTCACAGCTGCTCTTTCTACTGTTCTCGAGTCGCGTTGGATAAAAGCGTCTGCTAAATGATGAAATGTAAATGTCTTGCAGCAGGATCCGTACATTGCATCGATGGAGCACCACACGGACTGGGTCAATGACATCGTCCTGTGCTGCAACGGGAAAACACGTGAGTGTGTGTCTGACAGGTGCAGGGCCTCTGTTGTGTGTGTACGGCACAGATATACACGTGTGTGTTGTCTCTACAGTGATCTCGGCGTCCTCGGACACCACAGTGAAGGTCTGGAACGCACACAAGGGCTTCTGCATGTCAACGCTGCGAACGCACAAGGTACTGTCATGTGACTGATGACATCAGAGCTGCGGGAAAAGACCACGTGAACATCCTGAGCCGTTTAAATGCAGATGATTTTTGAACGATATAATGTGAGAAATCCTCGATCCGACAAAAACTGCTTCCTTATCGTCGTATAGATCCGGTAACACTTTACAATAAAGTTCAGTGGTTAACATAAACTAATAATGAACAGTACTTCTACAGCATTGATTAATCTTAGCTAATGTTAATTTCAACATCTACTAATACATTATTAAAATCGAAGGTTGTATTTGTTAACATTAGTTGATGCACTGTGAACTAACAGTATTTTTATTAACCAACGATTAATAAATGTATTGTAATATAATGTGTTATTGTAAAGTGTGACCAGATATCCTTAATCGTTTATGGTAATTATTTCCTCTACTCCTTATCATTGGCACTGAAGATTGCTTTATTTCTGCCGTTCAAAACGATTTTTAATGTTTTTAAAAGAAGTCTCTTTATTTGATTAAAAATACAACAACAAAAAATTATGACAATTTAAAGTAACTTTTCTATCTGAATATATTTTAAAATGTAATTTATTCCTGTGATGAAAGCTGAATCTTCAGTGTCACATGATCCTTCAGAAATCATTCTAATACGCTGATTTGATGCTCAAAAAACATTATTATTATCAATGTTGAAACATCCATTTTCTTTTTTTCTGGATTCTTTGATGAATAGAAAGTTTTATTTCATTTATTTGAAATAGAATATTTTGACATTAATAAATGTCATAAGACGCGTGTAGTCGAAGCCATTTTTTGTTTTGTGTTTTAACTTGAAAAATCCTTTAAAATAAAGTAAAAATAAATAAATAAATGTCATAAGACATTATAAATGTCTTTATTGTCACTTTTGATGAATTTAATTCGTCCTTGCTTAATAAAAGTATTGATTTATTTGATTGACCCCAACTTTTGAACGGTTGTGTATAATGTTACAAAAGCTTTCTATTAAGATAAATGCTGTTCTTTTGAACTTTCTGTTCATGCATTCAACATTGATGTTTCTTGAGCAGCAAATCATCATATTAGAGTGATTTCTGAAGGATCATGTGACACTGAAGACTGGAGTAATGATGCTGTGATCACAGGAATAAATGACACTTTACGGTATATTCACATAGAAAACACTATTTTAAATTGTTATAATATTTCACTATTAACTGTATCTGGTTTTCTACTTTCAATAATTTGAATGATTTTTTTCATTAGTGTTTGTGTGTGTGTTTATGTAGGATTATGTGAAGGCGTTGGCGTATGCTAAAGACAAAGAGCTGGTGGCTTCGGCCGGGCTGGACCGACAGATCTTCCTCTGGGACGTGAACACACTCACAGCACTGACCGCATCCAATAACACTGTCACTAGTGAGTTCTCAATTACTTTTGAGATTTTTGGCTTAATAACAATACAGATTATTATATTTAAAGTCCCCCTGTAGTCCATCATTTTACCCCTTAAAACTCATCTTTGATCACCAAAATTAAGCATTTTGTCCTTGATATAAAATATCTTGAATGTAACCCGACACCATTGCGTCATTTAGTATGCGAGGGTCTATGAATATGCAAATGAGCCCCGCCTCCACTCACTCACTCAGAGATCCACTGGTTGATCTGATTGGTTACAAGGTGGTTTGTGAAGTCAGAAACACCAGCGATTTCAAAGCGTGTTTTTTCACTGCAGTTTTAAGGAGGAAATACTGAATGAATTTTCACAGGTTTTGTCTTAAAGTAAATTAAAAACAGCACATGCACACATAAACAACATTAAAAGCTGGAGTTACACCACAGGGGGACTTTAAGTGTTTAATAACTGATATGCAGAACAATAAAAAATCGACTTTTTGATATTATAACGGTGGTAACACTTTACAATAAGGTCTCATTAGTTAATGCATTAGCTAATAATAAACATGTGTTTTACAGCATGAATCAATGTTAGTTAATACAAATGTTATTGTTCATGTTATGCCGCTTCCAAAACCTTATTGTAAAGTGTTATGACTAAATGATCATTTATTGGTCTGTTGCAGTGGTTTTCAACCTGTGGGCCGCGACGATATTGCAAGGGGGCGCCATTTACTATTAATAAAAAATAATTGTTAATATGTGAAACTGTCTACTTGCATATAACAAAAAATAAATATGAAACTGTAACTGTGTTATCACTATTTACGCTCGCTGTTCGGTTGTGTTGAGAATAAACCACCAATACTTTTGCTGCATACTGTAGGCAACAACAGATTTAAACATGGATGAATGGTTATCAACAGGGTCGCTGAAAAGGACAAATGCAGATGTTTCTTCATCTACAAGTAAGGATAAATCTTCAGCAATGTCTGACAAGCTAGACCAAGGAGATACAGTAGTGAGTAGCTAGCGGTAGTCTTCACATGTGTGGGAGAACAAACAGCCATGTTGCTTTATATTATTTAGCTTATTTTAGCTTTACACATTATTTGACCGGCGCTTTACGTCAAGCCTGATCTCCGTTTGCAACAGTGTTTAGGACATGCTATTGCTAAACAATACCAATCTTTGCATTAGCCGAGTCAGAAAGATGTCAGTTGTTGGTCTCCTAGCTGTTATAATATGATTTTGGCTAACACTCCTGTGCTTTTGCAGGGTTGAGCAGTGTAGCCAATCACAGACATATCTGTCCATTCCTTGAATGCTACGGCCAATCAGAGGTGTTTAAAGGGTTAGTTCACCCAAAAATCCTTTCGACTCTCCCTCATGTCGTCCCAAGCCCGTCAGACCTCCGTTCATCTCCAGAACACAGTTTAAGATATTTTAGATTTAGTCCCTCTATTGGAAATGTGTGTACGGTATACTGTCCTTGTCCAGAAAGGAAATAAAGACATCATCAAAGTAGTCATGTGACATCAGTGGGTTAGTTACAATGTTTTCAAGCATCGAAAATACATTTTGGTCCAAAAATAACAAAAACTGCGACTTTATTCAGCATTGTATTGTGTTGTGGATCCGCGTTCAGTGACGTAAGACACAAAAATCATTCTCTGTTCTTGACTGAATAACTTATGTACGTTGATCTATGTTTGATTCTCACAGAGAAGACTTTAGTGTTTTACATTTGATTACTTTATTTGACGTCTCTTCCAGAAAACTACTGTAACTTGTCTTTAAGGCCGTGTGTCCACCAAAGTGTTTTTCCACGCGCCTGGCGTATGTTTTCAATTGTTTTCAATGGGAGCGCCGCGTTTTTTAAACGCCATGAGCGTACCGAGGCACTGAGCGTTTTTACTGGTTGCTGGGAGTTGTAAAATGTTCAACAGCGCTCATCACTGTCACTTTTTACCCAGCCGTCCAATCACAGTGGAGGAGGGGTGGGACTAATACCACACCGACCAACTGTCACAACATTCAAACTGCTGCGGATATTCTGTATCATAGCAACGAAATGTCTCAACGGAAAAAACGCCGCGCTGCCAAAACGCTCTCAAGCGCCCAAAGCACGGCGTCTAGCGTTTTCAGCTGGATAAAAACGGTTCGTTGGACACACGGCCTAATAATGTTTTACATTTATATCAGTTAGGCGAATAGGTTTAGCTGTGGTATTGAAATTGGCCCTGAAATTTCACTGGAATCTAAAATGTTGCTTTCGTGGCCATTAAAACAAATGTTTAAGACTAGTACAGTGCCGAAAGTTTAGTTAAATATTTGTCAAAATATCTTTATTCGTGTTCAGCAGAACCAAAGACATTTATAAATACAGGTTCGGAACAACTTGAGGGGAAATGATGACAGAATTAACATTTTTGGGTGAGCTATCCCTTTAACTCTCAAAATTGCAATGATTGACAGTGAGCGTAGCATTGGACGGGACAGCAGTCTGATATTTGTGCATGAAGGCTAGAGCAGCCGATTCGATTCTGGGCTCGATAACCCATTATCTGTCGATCCGTTTAAAACTATTGCAGTGGGCCGCGTAAACTTGCGTGTTTGGTTGTGTGGGCCGCCCGCGAGTTGGAAAAGGTTGAGAACCACTGGTCTACTGCAATCAAAATCCAAAAAAAATAGTTACTTTACACTTTCGATTGGTGCCTTTTATCAGTAGACCCAAAATATGTGTTCAGCAATCACTGAATCCTGAATTTAAGTTTGTGTTTAAAGATAAATCTCTCTTTCTTTATGCTATACAGCGTCTTCTCTCAGCGGGAACAAGGACTCCATCTACAGCTTGGCCATGAATCAGATGGGGACGGTCATAGTGTCGGGGTCCACTGAAAAGGTTTGACATAATCTTAGTGATAAATCATGCATTTTTGGTTAACATTATTGTAATGCAGCCTTTTTGATCAGGGACATATTAAGAGTAAATAAAGTTAGTTACATCAGGTACATTAGATACATCAGGGTTGTACAGATGCAATAATAAATCAATATATTGTTTTTTCTTTTTTTTTAAAATTCCCTGAATTCTTCAGGTTCTTGTGATATTTGTCATGTATAGCAACTGCCTGACGTTCTGAGTCCGATAATTTCGCATTGTCTTTATTTAATTGATTTGTTTTCCTCACTTCAGGTTCTGAGAGTGTGGGACCCGCGGACCTGTGCCAAACTAATGAAACTGAAGGGACATTCAGACAACGTCAAATCACTGCTGCTAAACAGAGATGGAACTCAGGTTAGATCAACATATTTTCTTCAACTCATAATTAGGGTTGGTATCGAGAACCGGTTCCAAAATTCCAAAAACCGGGTATTTGATAAGACACGCGCATTTCAAGAGTATTTGCTCTCCTTTTTCTCTCCAATAAATACTGGAATCGAAACCAAGAATCGTTAAGAACCGGATTCGATAAGCGGAATCGGAATCGGTATCAGAATCGTTAAAATTGAATCGATACCCAGCCCTACTCATAATTGAGGTTATTATTTCAATAGTTTAACAACGCATGTTCAATCTTATTCACACCAATCTTAAAGGAGTAGTTCACTTTTGAAAAAACTTTTGCTGATAATTTCCTCACCCCCATGTCATCCAAGATGTCCATGTCTTTCTTTCTTCAGTCGAAAAGAAATTAAGGTTTTTGATGAAAACATTCCAGGATTTTCTCCATATAATGGACTTCAATGGGGACCAAACGGTTCAAGGTCCAAAAGACAGTTAATAACAGTTTCAGATGCAGCTTTAAATGTCTTTAAACGACACCAGACGATGAATAAGGGTCTTATCATGCGAACGTAACGTCACGTAATACGTAATTACGTTCAAAAGGTCACGGGTGACGTAGCCGGAAGTACAGAGTCAGTGTTTACAAGTTGAACGCATAGGTTGAACGTGCAAACTAACTCAAACGCCGTTTACAAAAAAAGGAATTAAAAGGTAAAACAACGATGTCGGACGATTTTGATTCTGTACTTCCGGCTACGTCGCCCGTGACCTTTTGAACGTAATTACGTATTACGTGACGTTACAAACGCGCCTCACAGAATAGAGCAAGGCTAGCATTTGTCCTTAGAAAAGTTACATTTTTGAAATAAGCGATCGTTTCGCATGATAAGACCCTTATTCATCGTCTGGTGTCGTTTAAAGCCCTTTGAAGCTGCACTGAAACTGTCTTTTGGACCTTGGTCCGTTTGGTTCCCATTGAAGTCCATTATATGGAGAAAATCCTGGAATGTTTTCATCAAAAACCTTAATTTCTTTTCGACTGAAGAAAGAAAGACATGGATATCTTGGATGACATGGGGGTGAGTAAATTATCAGCAAAAGTTTTTTCAAAAGTGAACTACTCCTTTAAGGGCCGTACACACCAGGTCAAATATCGGCGTTTTTCGCCAAAACAATTTTCACTGACAATGAGTCGAGGGAACATGCAAATTAAATCGTTCCCGTAAAGCATGTCGTGATTCTCGCGAAATTTGTCGGGGGGGCGCTCCTCTCAAACTTGCATCGCCCTACTCTGAGTTTGTTTACCACCGAAATGACTTTGCAGCTGTTCGATTAGCACAGCACAGTGTGCCAGTCCTGGATTGCATGTGTTCAGCCCTGCTCTGTGTGTGTCCAGTGTCTTTCAGGAAGCTCTGACGGGACGATCCGGCTGTGGTCTCTGGGTCAGCAGAGGTGTATCGCCACATACCGCGTTCATGATGAGGGCGTCTGGGCGCTGCAGGTCAACGAGGCCTTCACACACGTTTATTCCGGGGGTCGCGACCGCAAGATCTACTGCACAGACCTGCGCAATCCTGACATCCGGGTGCTGATCTGTGAGGAGAAAGCGCCTGTGCTGAAGGTGCGACGGTCGCATACAAGAGCAAAATGCTGGAAGTTTATTTGACTTCTTATTTAAGTGGTCTCGTATATACATGTAAACATAAACATGCTATACAATATGAAAACGGCTCTATATGTATATATTCGACTAGAGGTGGATGGTAAGCTGGTATCTTATATGTTGCACCACACGGTTATGAAAATATTTTTGTGGTCCGATATGTTTATTTTAGGGCCGGGACTCGATTAAAAAAATGTATTAATAATAAATATTAAAAAATAATATTTAAAAAAATAAAAAATTATTAATAATAAATATTTTACCTGAGAACAGTGAGAAGATTTTTTTTTTCACATGGATTTTTAGTATACCATTGAATAATGACTGAATACATAAGCTTAAGTAAGAAAATATTGTTTATTTTTGTTCAACCAAGTCCAGCAAACCAGTGCAATTGTATATGTTTTGCGTTGAGGTGAAACTTGAGGGTCGATGTGATATGCCAATTCCTTGTTGCATAGCTTGCACACTGCCATGCTCTTAATGACGCTTCCATCCGTTCGGTTTTATAACAACCAACTAAAGCGGCCTGTCAGCTTCTTCGTTCATGTTCAGTGTGGTTTGTTGTTTAGTTGTCTGAAGCAAAGACTGTAAAAAGTCATGAACGCTAGTTGGTGCTCCGGTATAATCGGTCCGCCGAAACTAATCCAGTGAGAAATATTCCACGGTGCAAAAATAAGTGCGATTAAAATGCGTTAATTTTTTGTGTGTAATTAATTAATGCGTTAAAGTCTGCAATTAATTAATTTTAATTAACGCAGTAAAGTCCCGGCTCTAGTTTATTTACAATATTAACAGGATAAAGATAGAGGAGAATAGTAAAACGTATCGTCTGAAGTCCACAATCAAAAGTTTTATTTTCACTGTCGGGTGGAAATCTCGTATCTCCATGTTTTTCGGCATTTTAATTGGTTTTCATAAATCATTACTATTGGTCACTCTTTACATCTGTCTGTGGGTTTTGCAAATATTTAAGGAATGAAAAGTATTAAAAAGATCTCGTAACTCCATTGGCTGCTCAAACTGTCAGTCAAACCTCATAACTCCGCCCACCTCTGTCACGAATGAACACATTCTGGAGCGTCTCTGCTTGTTTTCATCGCAATGCTAAATTTGCTAAAAAGTACAGCATTTTCTTTTACTCTAGGGCACCAAATTCAAAAAATCTTTTACATTTGGAGTTTCGACTACATATATGATCCACTTTCAATAAAGATTCATTTTAAGATTGAAAAATAAAGTGATGTCTGTAGACTGTAAATCTCGGGTGGAAGTGTATGCCACAAACCCCTGCGCCAGCTGTGGACTACGAAGAGTAAAGTTACTGAGGTGTGAATGTGCTTGGGTGTCTTACAGATGGAGCTGGACAGGTCAGCTGATCCGCATTCGGCCATCTGGGTTTCCACCACGAAGTCCACGGTTAATAAATGGGTGAGTGCAGCTGGTGTCCGGCATGACGTCACACCTGAGTTTTAAGTATTGTGCAGCGTGCTCGTTTACTCACGAGAGTCATTATTTAGTGTCGCCTTTCCCTGGATGTGCTCCAGTGGCGTTATTTTAAGGTAATCTTTTGTGTTGCATGTTCAGGGTTCCTGTGCACTCTTTAAAGTCAAATTTAAGGCTTTTTAAGTCATTTTTAAGACCTGAACGAATCAAAATTAATACCATACTTTAGGGGTGTGCAATATTGACAAAAATATCTCGAATCTCGATATTTTCAATGATTTGTTGGTAATAATTAGATGATATTTTACTGATTGTGTTTTTGTGCTGGTGCCATGGCTGGTTAAGGCCTGACTCGTGAAGATTTTCATATTTTTCAAATTCTATGCAATGGTCAGTTCACAGCAGTGAAAGAAATTATTAATTAATGTGCAATATTTGCCACTTTAAATTTATCTTTGTCAGAAGTGGCATTAATATTTACACACCGTTTACAATTGCATAAATAAAGCTATGAGATAGTTTAAAAACAATATTCAATATTTAAATATGACATGATTTCTAATTTTAACGTTTTACTTTAAATATGAAACTAAAACCGCCAGTAGGCGGCGGCAAGTCTCTGTCTTAATAAGCGAGTTGAGGGAGTCATTCATTCAACCGATTTGTTCAAACGGCTGATTCATTCGGGAAAGAAGCAAGTAATTGTTCATTGAATCGTTAAAATGATTAATTCAGAACGCGGATTTCGTTCAAGAAGTCACACGTTTGTGACTCTCCTGTTCAAACTCGTTCATCAAAATGAACGAATCTTTTTTCGTGTCATTTGGTTCATTCAATAAACGAAATGAACGAATTGACTCGGGAAAAGATTTGTTCATTTTGATAAACAGGAGAGTCACAAACACGCATCACAGAACAGAGCAAGGCAAGCATTTGAGCTTATAAAACTTAAACTTTTTTTTTTTTTTTTTTTTTTTTAATGAGCAATCGTTTCGCTAGATAAGACCCTTATTCATCGTCTGGTGTTGTTTAAAGCCCTTTGAACAGTTTGCACTGAAACTGTCTTTTGGACCTTGAACCGTTTGGACCCCATTGAAGTCCATTATATGGAGAAAATCCTGGAATGTTTTCATCAAAAACCTTCATTTTTTGGCATGGACATCTTGGATGACACGGGGGGCGAGTAAATTACCAGAAAAAGTTTTTTTTTTTTTTTAAAGTGAACTACTCCTTTAAGATTATTTTTCTTCCCCCATTGGCAGATAATTGTTTGTTTTAAGCAAAAACTCGCTTAATTTTGATTTATTCCCGTGGAAAACAGGACATATGTCATTTTACTCATCTAGTAAATGCATCTTGATTTAAGAACTTTTAGATATTTGCACTGGAAACGACAAAAATACTAAGCAATAAAAGCATTTTTGAAGTGTATTCTAATTTAATTTATTCATTAAATGTAAAAGATGATTTATTTAGCTTAGAAAAAATGGCTTTATAAAGGTAAAAATGTCCATTAAAGGTTCAAATCAATTGAAACTTGTTGGAAAAGATGATTTCTGTCACTGCTGTGAGCTGACCAACACACAGAATATGAAGAATACCAAAGACTTTTGGAGTCAGTCCTAAACCTGCCAGTGTACAACACAATACACACACAGAAAAATATCGTCTAATTATCATAATTCTTGTCAAATCTTCTGTTTCAGTCTCTGAAGGGAATCCATAATTTCCGAGCGTCTGGAGATTATGATAACGACTGCAGCACGCCGCTGACGCCACTGTACACGCAGCCCGAACAGGTTATCAAAGGTACGACTTCAGTCTTGAGTTGGGTCATTGTATTCTTGTTATGCTGTTTACACACAGCTATGGTGCTGTATCATCCAGCGAAACAAACATTAAAATGACTTGGGATGTGTATGATGATCAGCTTTAAGCCGTATCTTCAGCATGTTGGTTTGATGTCTTGACCTCTAGGTGGCGCCAGTATAATTCAGTGCCACATTCTGAATGACAAAAGACACATTCTGACCAAAGACACCAACAATAATGTGGCGTACTGGGATGTGCTTAAGGTACCGTGGTAGATTAACGGTTATATTCATCGATTGATTGGATTGCTAGTTGTCGTGTAACTGGATTGTTTTCTGATGTTCGTCAGGCTTGTAAAGTTGAAGACTTGGGGAAGATGGAGTTTGATGAAGAGATCAAGAAAAGGTTCAAGATGGTTTATGTGCCGAACTGGTTTTCAGTGGATCTGAAGACGGGGGTAAGTCACTGCAGAACGGTGTTTTTTGAAAATTAACATACATGTTATATACAAGTCCTTGATGAAGGTGATTGAATTTATTTTGTGCAAGAGGTTTTCTAGTTAAAATTCCATATTATTCCCATATTACATATTATTTTGGCTTTTGATCCACAGATGTTGACGATAACGCTGGACGAGAGCGACTGTTTTGCGGCCTGGGTTTCTGCTAAAGACGCTGGATTCTCCAGTCCTGACGGATCCGACCCTAAACGTGAGAGCGCCCTCCAGAGGCTTATGTTTATGGTGACGGTAAATCCTGATGGTGTGATGATGTGTTTGTTGTGGCGCAGTGAATCTGGGCGGCCTTCTGCTTCAGGCTCTGCTGGAGTACTGGCCTCGCACACACGTCAACCCCATGGACGAGGAGAGCGAGCTGAATCATGGGAGCGGTAAAAACACTTCCCTCAACTAAAACACGGATTATCATTTTTAATGATACAAAATAAATGTATATTTATTGACAAAAATAAACATTTTATTTTGTAAGTTTATACTTGCAATATCATTTATTATATATGCTAATTATTTTAAAAAAATATATATGGTATAATAATATATTATTTTGTTCAAATTAGCATATTGTTATTATTATTAGCACTATCTATCTTTATATATATATATATATAATGTAAGTCTGTTTATGTGTGTGTATGTATGTATGTATATATATATATATATATATATTACTTATTATTATACAATAATTATTTACTTGGATATTATTTAACTAAATTTATTAATATATAATATTTATTTATACATATATATTTATTTTATAAGTATATATAATTTATGTCTAAGTTATATAAATTCTAATAATGCTTTATATGTGTATGTATATATATTTATTTTTTTTGTATTTATTACAATATATTAGTTATTTACTTTATATGATACATTTATTACTTAGAATAATTATTATAATATAAATGTGCATATAATATTAATAATAATTAATATTATACAATAATTATAAACTTGGATTTAATGTAATTGGATTTATTTAAATATAATAATATCCAAGTTTATAATTATTATATATATATATATATATATATATATATATATATGTATATGTATACATTTCTTCTTCAGATAATCATGATGATGATGGCATATGTTGTGTGTTTGCTCAGTGAACGGTGAACACGAGAGCCGGATACAGAAAGGAAACGGATACTTTCAGGTGCCGCCACACACTCCGGTGATCTTCGGGGAAGCAGGAGGAAGGACATTATTCAGGTGTGTGTGTGTGTGTGTGTCCCTGTTTAATCACGTCTTCAGATGCTGGTGTTCAGTGATGAACTGTGTGTGTGTGTGTGCAGGCTGTTGTGTCGAGACTCCGGTGGAGAAACTGAGTCCATGTTACTCAACGAGACGGTCCCACAGTGGGTCATCGACATCACAGTGGACGTAAGATCCTGTTTACGTCTCCAACAAATGTCTTCTTTTTCTTTCTGTTATTTAAAGCAAATTTCTTTAATTCTCCTACAGAAAAACATGCCCAAATTCAACAAAATCCCATTCTACCTCCAACCACATTCATCGTCCGGAGCAAAGACGTTAAAGAAGTATGTGTGTGTGTGTGTGAGGTTAGAGTCTAGAGCGACTGGAAGTAGCCGTTTTGGATGTAAATAAAAACTAGCCGTGTGTTTTTAGGGATCGGTTGTCGGCCAGTGACATGTTACAGGTGAGGAAGGTGATGGAACATGTGTATGAGAAGATCATTAACCTGGACAGCGAGTCTCAGACGGGCGGTTCGACCGGAGAGAAGCCTAGCGAACAGAAGGAGGAGGAGGACATGGCGGTGCTAGCGGAGGAGAAGATCGAGCTGCTCTGTCAGGACCAGGTACCATATCCCATGAACACACCAACACTAGGGCTGGGTATTGAGACAAATTTCACAATTCGATTCGATTTCGATTCACAAGCTTTCGATTCGATTACGATTCAATATCGATTATTTTGGATATCAGTTACAATAAATGGCAATTTTTCTCAAGGGAATCAAATCTCTGAACTAATGCTGTGAACTATGGGAGTCTAGTTGTAGACTTCATTAGTCTAATATGAAGGTAATAATGAACTGTTTTGTAGCTATACAAACACTTAAATTACACTTTTATTTATTTTTATAATAAGAAGATCATATGAAATATAAACATTTAAATGGTGGCTGTCATAAAAACTTGCCAGATTTATTCAAATATGCATTAAATATTGAAGAACATTAAGATTATAATGCATATGTAATAGTGTGTATATATTTAGCAGAATGCTCCTCTCTAGAGTTATTTTTTCTAGCTGACTAACGAGTTTATGAGGGTTTTCTGAGGTAAATATGACGATGACATTGATTACAAGCTGTTTAACTGACGTCTTTCCACGGTTGAAACGCTGATTGAGCGAATCAATGTGACATGATCCGGATTTGGATGAGTTGTACTGTATCTTTAACACACTTTCAGATGCTCATTCATGTTTATTTGGCGCTGTGACTGGTATTATTAAGCCGGAAGAGAGATCAGCGCTGCTGCTTCTCCAGAGCGATCTCACGCCACAGCGACAAAACGCTATTTATGATTTTGAATTTCTAAAGAAAATGGACGTAATTCGAAATTTGAGACTTTGTTTCATATCAATAGTAACAAAGGACAAAGATTATTGCAATTTTTTTTTGGATGCACGCAGCCGCGATACAATGATCCATTCATTCAAATGAAACAGGATGACTAATCGATTCTTGAGATTTAAGAATCGATATCGGTTCGTAAAAATGAGAATCGATTAATATCGAGAAATCGATATTTATTACCCAGCCCTAACCAACACATACATGCTTTCACACAGTCAGATTAGCGGTTACATCTTCCATAGCAGTACCAGTGAAATTTAACGTTTTTTAATCTCAACATGCAGCCTTTGTTTAAAGATTATTATGAACAACATTGTTACAAAGCAGCTTCACAGAAAAGCATGATGTTAATTAGTGATGCATCGACATGAACATTTTGGCCGATAACTGATAATTCTTTATGCTTGAAAGTCGACAAATCTACATTTTTGAGAGGCTGATTACAAAAACAAAAGTCTCACAATTAAAGGAGAACTCCGGCGCAAAATGAACCTTTGGTCTAATTACACATTGTTACCTATTCAACCGTTATCTGAGATTTTTTTCATGATTGCCGAATGTAAATAGTTTTATCTATAAAAACAGTTTAGCCTATAATGCTAGTATAATGCTAGTATATAGGGCATAGAGTAATGACAAAAAAAAATCGCTTTTTATTACCACTAACAAGGCTCAAAATAGCCCCACACTAACACGACAGCATAATAAGGGTCCCTACATTCAAACCGAAGCATTGAGAACTTTGTCAGTGTCCATACAGCTTAATAAGAAGATATTTTATACACACAGTCAACTTCGCGAATACAGGAAGAAGCCATCTTTGAAAAATAGTCTCTACCAGTCGATCTACGAACCCCGATCACTAACATAAATAATGTATTATTCTCTTCAACTGACACTTCAGATGTTCAACAGTTCAATGGTTTTGAATTGCTTGAAATATGATTGAAATCACTTTGAAAAGGAAAATACAGTTCATGTGCAGCGCAAGGTCATATCGGTTACATAAAATTATTATGAGGACGTTATTTTTTGTTTTTGGGACACGGCTTCAATGGTGAGACTTAAATTTTTCTAATCAGGCTCTCAAAAATTATATAAAAATTTGGAATTAGATTTCTCAGCCAAAATATCGGTTTTCAGATATAAAGAATTATCGCTCTCGGCCAAAATGTTCATATCAGTGCATCCCTATTGGTATTCATGTTTTTTTTTTATACTTCAATATCAACTAGGAGGTCATCAGTAATACTGCCGCATATGTGCTAATCAGACCAAGACACTTTTCCTAATTATCTAGTGAAATCTCCTAGATCTCAGATCCCGGTGTGTAAATGCATCTTTCTGACTTGTTGCATTGCTTTGGGAAGGTTCTGGACCCCAACATGGACCTGCGGACGGTGAAGCACTTCATCTGGAAGAGCGGCGGCGACCTGACGCTTCATTACCGGCAGAAATCCACGTGAAACTCGCATCGGATCCATCACTCCCAACACTTCACATTCAAAGCACACGCTCACCTGCACTTCCTGGTTCTGTCTGACGTCTAGATCATCAGGCCGTCTGCGTCACACACGTTTATCCCAGTGGAAACGAGCAGGAGGTCTGTGGAGAAACGCTCAAAGACGTGACATGGAGTTTGAGTTCACCTGTTTGTTCACCCGTTAGGTTTAATTCGTTTCTCTTGACGGATGCCATATTGAACATGTCCGAGTTGCTTTGGTTTTGTTATTACCGCCCCTCTTCTCATTTAACATTCCAGTGATGTTTGTTGCCAATGACGTCATCGGATCCCTCTCGCGGCGTGACCGGAAAACCAAGTCTGAGCTGAGGATTGCGTCTGGACCGGCTCTAAAACAATCACAACGTTTGATAAAACTCCCATGATGCATCTCTCTCACTAACATGCTGTGATCATCAATGCATCCATTTTTGTACATATATTGTAATTATTTTGTAGTCAACTTGAACTTGAGTTGGAGATTAGGAGGTTTTTATTTACTTTTTCTTTTTTAAGAAAACGTATGTTATCTTCAAAAAGGTGCTTTTCGTGTAAAATATGACGACAGAAGTGCAGAGAGAGGAAATACTCGTAACATTGTAAGTGGAAATAGTTTTTTTTAAAAGGAATAATTCTTCCAAAATGGAAAATTCTTATGCATTTGTTGAATTTCTTAATAATTTAATGTATGCTGCTGTTATCTAGAAAAGAGCTGCATGAAGATTCTTCAAAAATAACGGCATATCCGTTTAAAACCAAATGACGATTTTCATTTTTGGATGAATTATTCTTTGATACGACTGTTTGCTGAAAATATACAAAAATAAATGAATATATATATATAATATAAAAAGCTATGAGCATTGAAGGATGACATCACTAGATGGCAGCCTTCGTTCATGTTTTTAATTTATGCAAAACTAAAACTGTTCTGCAAACGTTTGTCAATCATACAAAGTTTTGCACAGTGTTCTAGCAAAATGTACATATTTGGTCTTAAAGACAAATAGGATGATAATTATAGAAACTAAATCGAGAGGCAAAACTGAGACGTCTCTCTGAAAGGTTTTAACATGCGCCTACACCCCCTGTATTTATGCTTCCTGTGTTCATTGTAATCATATGCAGTATATTTTGGGTAAATAACAGCTTAATAAATGAACCAATAATGAATGAGTTGAAATGCGATCCTCCTGATGTTCACCTTTTACTACTGATCATCTGGTTATTAAAGAACTGAAACGATTGTATTAATCCTCCTTTAATACACGAGTGTGATTTATCCAGATAAGAGCTTGAGTGATGCTCATAGCTGTGCATTAAAGGTTAGTACTTCTGAAACTATACACTGAGGATATGCATCCTTAACATCTGTGTATTTCTCGTTTTCAGAAGTGGAAAATCGTGTGGATATTTCCGAGGTAAGCATGACATGTTTAACACTGGTGTATGTTTCTCTTGGCCTTTTATTATAATGTAGAATTAGGCAAAGTCAAATAAGGTTACATTTTCTCTTTAATCTTGACACTTCTGCAACTTTTTTTTTTTGCATTAAAACAGTATGTGTGTGTGTGTATATAAAACGTATGTATAGGCCTATATATATTATATTATGTGTGGGTGTGTATATATATATGAAGAGTTCAGATGCAAAAGCCTCTAAGTGCCATTTGAAATTTTCTTCTAGAATGATCATTTTCATCAAGCTTGTATATTTAAGTTCAGTGATTTCACTTAAATGGCAATGATATTTAAGTGAAATTACTAAGTTTGATAAAAATCATCATTAAAGAAGAAAATTTCAAATGGCATTTAGAGGCTTTTGCATCTGAACTCTTCATATATATATATATATATATATATATATATATTTATTTATATTTATAATATATTTATTTGTGTGTGTGTGTGTGTGTATTCAGAGAAATTCAGTCAACAGCATTTAATGGATTTGTCCAACACATTGATGACGATGAGCTCCAGCCGCTTTCCTGAGATATTACATAGAATAACCACTGAAAATAATGTAAATTTAACTTTAAAGTGCAATTGTGTCATGAAAATAATGTCACAATGCAAAACGCTTTTCTTTACACGGGCTGGCTTCTTATCCAATACCTGTATGCATGATATTATACATATGTGTGTGTGTGTGTGCATATGAAGAGTTCAGATGCAAAAGCCTCTAAATGCCATTTGAAATTTTCTTGTTTAATGATGATTTTTATCAAACTTGTATATTTAAGTTCAGTAATTTCACTTAAATAACAATTAATAAGTGAAATTACTGAACTTAAATATACAAGTTTGATAAAAAATCATCATTAAAGAAGAAAATTTCAAATGGCATTTAGAGGCTTTTGCATCTGAACTCTTCATATATAGATAGACATTTTATCCTGATATTCAAGTGGTTTCTCTATTTTATAAAGCATGAGTAAATATGAGTGCAAACAGAAACGGCACTTTAAAGCATCTGTTTCTGTGCAATCTTGCATGTCAGCGCTCTAGTTTCAGAGACGTTCACCGGTGCTTCAATAGAATTGCTCAACTCTATCCCAGCAGGCTCCTGAAACCTCAGCTGGTGCTCATGTGAGGGGTTCATCCTTCAGCTCCACGTTAAAGATGGTGGCGTTTGTTCAGCGCAGACTCCTGCATCGCTCTTCTGAACCGAGATCATCACGCTGTCTTCAGGACGACCTTCAGGAGGAGTAATGTGGCACGTGAGGAGAGACCGTATGAACACTAAGATCATTTACTGTGGTGTTTTGATGCTCACTTAACGCAGACACGTCCTCACTGTTGTCATCATCATCATCATCCACAGGCAAAGAGGAAGAGCGTGCGGAGAGATCCACAGCGGTCGTGTCTGCCAAAAACAAACTGGTTTTAATGTGTTGAACATATTCTGCTTAAAGATGAATCTACTGTTGAACTGTTTTCCAGCATATATGAGTTTATTCTGATTATCTTTATCAATACGTCAAGCATGTTATATGATTATAACATGCTTGATGTATTGGGTTTAGGTCCTGGAAAACTCTTGAAAACAGACATTTATGAAAATGTACTTGAAAGCGTTTAAATTATTATTAATTTTAATTGATAAAACAGTCAAAATGAAGCTGCAGCTCGTCTGATATAGAGGCATTTCGCGTGGCTTGCCTATGAGTGTGATATTGCTCATAAATATTATCCAAGTATATGATACATCTTTAATTCTTCAGTTCAATTATATATTCATAGGAGAAGAAAATCAGTTTTAATTAGGAAAGCGATATCTTTGTCATGGTGTCATTTCAATGCTGAAAGTTTCCGCAGTCTTTGCATCCGCTGCACTTGATTTATTTTTGTTTATCTATTTACCTTTTTTAGAATTTGAAAGATAATATAGATATTGTTTGATAAGTGAGATCTCTGATTGAAGTCCTTGAAAACCTTAAAGTTGTGTAATATCATGTTCCTGTGTGTGTGACCCCTGTTATGACCTGGAGATGATGCTGACGCTTCAGACGTGTCCTCAACAAACCCTTCACCGGCGTCTTCCGTCACGTCACGTTCATGATCTGACAATGACTGGAGTAAGACAAACATCATTTCAAACGTTATTTTTGAATGTAGAGCTTTATGTAATACTATGGAAGATAATGTTTTCACTCATTTGTATCTCACAATTCTGACTTTATACTTCAATATAAATGACCTCAATTATACGTCACATTTCTGATTATTTTCCCCCTCAGAAATTGTGGGTTATATACTCGCAATTGTGAGAAAAAAGTCAGATTTGTGAGTTTATAAATCGTAATTCGGACTTTCTCAGGATTGTGGAGGAAAAAAATGTCAGGCTTGTGAGATGAAAGTAATAAACTTTTTTACATCTCAAAATTCACACTTTTCCCATTAAAAGAGAAAATTAAGTTTATTTTCAAGAATAAGTTTATTTTGCAAAAAAGAGAAAAAAGGTCAGAATTGCAAGTTATAAAACTCACAATTGCAAGAAAATCTCAGGATTGTGAGTAATAAATTTTAGATGTGAAAATGAAAATCTTTTCTGACAAAACAAAAAAAAAAGTCAATTGCGAGTTATAAAATCACAATTGCCAGAATTCTGTGAATTTTATTCTGTGGCAGAAACAAGCTTCTATAATACAGATATGATATGGAATCTTATGAACATATTTTGCCCCGAAATTGCAAAAGAAAATATAAAATTTAAAGCCATAATTGTCCTAAATATGATTTTTTTTCCTTGCATTTCTGAGTGATGTTCCCTGTGAGATTTCTGTAGATCTACCTTAGACCAGTTTTTGTCCTCTTGGTTTCCAGATGTTGCAGATGCATTCTGGTATTGATCTGATGCGAACGGACGCATGGGGATTCGATGCAGGTACCCAAACCCCACGCCACAACCGAGACTGAGAGAACAAATACATGCTGTTTAAAGTGCCCCATTATGCTTTTTGGGATATTGCCTTTCATGTAGTGTGTGATAAATCTGTCTGCAAAGTTTCAAAGACAAAGTTATCGTCTCCCAAAACTAAGAATTGATTCTGAACTTCCTGAAGCGAGTCGTCTAATTCCAGTCTTCCTGTTTGAATCTACGTATGTTTGTAACTAATTTGCATAATGCCAGTATATGGTTTTCATTGGCTGTCGGTGAAGAGCGTTTCTTTGCTGGGCCTGTCAGAGTGGACCAATCAAAACATACTGTGTCATCTGACCAATCAGAGCAGAGTAGACCAATCACAAGAGACTGGGCCATCTGACCAATGAAAAAAGACTGGGTGGTCTGACCAATCAGAGAGAGTAGCTGTCAGAGAGGCGGGGTTTAGAGAGACTGAATCCTTGATCGAAACGTTTCAGACACTGAGAAAAGAGTAGATGCTGGAGTGGATATTATGAGGAAATCAAAGTGTTTTTTGACCTTGTTTGCATGTAAGCCGGTCGTAGAAGACTCATTTACAATAGATCTTTTAAACAGCATAATAGGGGCACTATGAAATACAATTCTCTATGATTATTGAGTGATGTGTACGACAATATAAGAACAAAAAGTGATGTCAAATGAAAAAGTTGGACTGTAATTGACTGTATTAGCCAGTTGTGCTGATGAAATACCTTCCCTCTCCGCCCCACGCTGCATTAGGAGTGATCATCACCTCCCGACAGCGGTCCCAGCGTGTGTTATACACCAGCAGCTTCAGCGCTTTCCCCTCAGACGCCTCGATCAGCGAAAAGAAGTCCTCCGACTGCAAAAATCAACGGCCAGTGTGATTTCACATTCAAATGCATCCAAACCGGCTTCGATCAGCTGATAAACGCATCTTACTTCCTGCAGCACCTGATCCGCGCCAACAATGTAATCCGAATACGGCTTCAGTCCCGCCAGTTCAGCGGGAGAATTCCCTTCCACATCCTGAAACATCATTACACCAAGGCATGTTACTCTGGTTTTACTCTGAATTATTCATCTTTGCACATCGTTATTTTTATTATTTTGAATCATGGTAATCTTGAATCAGAATAACTTCCCATTTATTTTTCAAGGATTTTTTTTTTTTTTTTAAATATGTCATTTTGGTGATCAACGATGAGTTTTATTAAGGGATACAATTATTGACTACAAAGGGACTTTTTTCCCCAAAACACTGTAAATCAATACAAAAATTATATTTTTCAGTTTTCAACTAAAAACGCTGTTTATCATCTCCATGTAAACTGCAAAAACGCAAATTTGAACTTTTAGTACATTAGATAACATGAACTAAGAATAAGCAGCATTTATTAATCATTGTTCATTAATCTCAACATTTATTAATACATTTTAAAGATCAAATGAGCTATCTTTTAAATTTAGAACACGCAATATAAACTAACATGCATATTTCTATTAACTAGCATTAATAATAATAATCATTAATACATGCTGTAAATATATATATTGCTCATTGTAAGTTTGTCAGTTAATGCATTAATGAATGTTAATAAATGAGACCTTATTATAAAGCGTCACTGTATTTTTTAAACAATTTATTTTATTTTATTATTATTATTATTAATGATTAAATTAGACAAAAAAATCATTTTCAATAGGGGTCTGAAACTTTTGGAATATATTCCATCGTATAGTAATTGTTTTTGCAAAGTTGCGTTCAATAAAAAAACTTTGAACAGGACTCTGCCGATTACAGTTTGTAGCTCACCAGCACATGCCAGACGTTGTGATTGGCCCCTTGGAACGTGCAGAACCGGACGCTGGCTCCCAGTAAACCCTGACCGCCCCACATGTTACTGGGCACGACCTCCAGCTCTCGGATCCTCATCACTTTACTGCTGTAGACCTCCAGCTTCACCGGCTTCTCCACGTTTGCCTTCAGGAGGTCCTTCAGCGTGCTGCTTTCTTTATTCTGATAACACACACACACTTTAGGCTCTCAGTTTGACATCAGAGCATAAAGTATGCAAGGAGATCTTCAGATTATCATCATCATCATTATGATTTCTGACTTCTGGTTGTGACTCATCATTTTTAGTGTAACGCGTCTGAAATGGATTTTAGATCTCACCAGTCGGGTGTGTCCAATAGACAAAATAAAATCAAAGAAGGGCTCCAGGCCGGCTCGCTCTGCGGGAGAATTCTCCTGGATCTGGGAATTAAAGCGGAATATTATGGAAGAAAGCTCGTTTTCACCACATGATGGGTGTGTAAATCATAATTATGAAGAATATGGACCATATGAACATTTTGGTCAAAACCGATAACTCTTTCTATTTGAAAGCCGATAACTAATATATTGGCCGATAAATACAAATCCAATTTTTTTGTATAATTTTTGAGAGCCTGATTACAAAACAAAAGTCTCACCATTAAAAGTCGCGTGTTCCAAGCACTCAATTATAATGTTCTCATAATAATTTTATGGAGCTTATATGACAGACTTGCATCGCTCTTTTTTTGACGTGATTCCAATCATATTTCAATCAATTCAAAACCATCATTTTGAACATCTGAAGCGTCTCAGCTGAAAGAAATTATCCATTATTTATTGGATATAATATAAATTTTCTTATAGGTCCGTTACGGATATATGGTGGCCACTGGCCAATATATTGTGCATTCTCATAAGTCAGTCATATTATAAGATCAGTCAAAATATTATGTCATACTTATAAATAAGAGATTAAAAAGTCAAAATTATGGCAAACAAAAGTTTGCCATCGGAAAATACTATAGAATTTTAAGACCCCTATTTTTCCAAGTGACAATATTCCGATGATTACTCTAATAAACATAAAATTCGAAGAAACCATTACACATCCCTAGATTTTGGATTTTTAAATGCTGTGACACTATGAAACACGCTTGACAAACCTAAGGTCGTATGTTATTTACTTCAAACCTGATTCCTCAGACTCGATGTCTAACTAAATGCAATAGTGACTAAAACAGCCGTTATTGTCGCACTCACCGCATGCACGTGATACCCGCTCTCTGCAGCAAACACGCTCTGAATCAAACCCATCATGAACTGCGACGTACGAACATCATACTACTGAGCGAAGCTCATGAATATTGATTAGTACATGAGCACGTTGCTTAGTAACCTTCCTGATGCTACTCATTAATATTCATACATCTGTCTGGTTTAAGCCAATCACGTAGACTTCTGTATGCGCGACTCGTAACGTCAGACCTTTGCCATAGTAGGATTCGTCCGTTAGCTTTTCTTTTTTTTTCTTTTCTTTTTTTTAAACTCTTTCTATTTAACGCAAACATTAACGAGACGAAAACGGATAATGATATAAATAAAGTGGAAGAAATTTGTAAATTCGTTACCGTTACCGTAGTGTTGTTTGAACAGACGTGAGTAATAAATCTTAGAAGATCGCTAGAAATCAATGACACAGGGGGTGGTATCTGTGTTTGATTATTATTCCTGTGCAGGTGTCTAGCAACGGCAGATTCCCGTTATTTTAAATCACAGGTGCTGTTTGATGCCGCTCACGTTAACCTTATAACTCGAATTTGTTTGATTAACGTTATCCGTGGAAAATATGTCAGAAAACGATAAAACGTGTTTGGTAAGTTTCTTTTTTTATCATAATGGAAACCTTTTAGTAAACTGTAACGTTAATAATGACTGATGTTTGTTTGCTTCAACAGCCGTTAATTATATATTATATGAGGGAGAAATTCTTCAGACATGCCATAAATACAGCTGTGAAGAATTTAAAGTTGTATAGTAATGATCCAGTGCTTCGTTTCTTCAAAGCTTTCGCAACTCTGATGGAAGGTAAGTTAACGTTAGGCTAAAGTGTGACTATTTATTTAACTTACTATTATAAAATGTTCCATAATTGGAGATTTACATTAGAAGAACGTTTTCGGTTCCTCAAAAAACAAACAAACAAACAAAAAAACGTTAAAATATCGTTAAAGAACCTCCCCTTTTTAGGAATGAAAGGGTTTAATTGATATTTAAAGGTTCTTCATGGAACCGCCGATGCCAGTAGCTTATTCTCAACAGCGCCATTTTGATTTTTAACGGGAATGAAAGAGGCTGTTGTCATAAGTTACCTGTCATAATGCTCTGAATAAGTCTGTAAAGAACTTTTATTTTTAAGTGTTTCCATTTTTTATGTATTTATGTTAGTTGTTGATGTTTATGAAGGTATAATGATATATGGCAAACTGATAGTGTTGTTGATGTTGATGATAATGAAAAAAGGCTCATACATTGCAGGTCACATTCAAGAGGCTTTGCGCGAGTTCGTCCAGCTGAAAGATCATCCACATCTGTCTCTGTGCTCAACAATAGCTCTCATGTGCGCACACAAACGTTGCGAAACCATTGGTAACCCTGACCCAGCCGCTCGGTCCAACACTGAACTAAATGAAACATTGATTCAGGGATAATATGTGTCTTTCTGTGTCCACATGAGATCGAGATGCTGTGAATGAGCTGAACTCTGACCTGAAGCTGTCTGGATCCACAGCCGGTGACAGAGCGTTGTATTACGCAGCGCTGCTTTACTGGATCCTGGAGCTGAACCACAAAGCAAAAGCATGTGTCAAAAGGATGCTGAAACTCAATGATGCGTCACCAGAGGTTTGTACGGCTGTCTGACCTATCAATGAATGTTTGCACATGAGGAATTGACACTGATGCCACATTTACACATAGATATTAGAGAAATTATATTTAGAGAAATATATTTAGAAAGACAAATATCAATATATTTTTGTATAATTTGAGACCCTGATCATAAAAGCAAAAGTCTCAGCATTAAAAGCTGTGTCCCGAACACACAATTATGATGCTCTCAACAATTTTATGTTGCCGATATGACAGACTTGCGCAGCACATGTTGCACTGAACTGTATTTTTATTTTTTGAAGTGATCCCCCTTCAACATAATATTCATATTCTCATCATATTCCACATAATATATTGGCTACATTTTTACAACCCATAACAATGGCATAAAAAATGAACATATATCGGCCGATACCGTGTTAAAGACCTTAAACATCCGACAGTGCCATATTTATACGCAATGGCCTCTAAATGTCAACATGATCAAAACTTTGCTGTCGCACACTCTGCTTTATGCCTAGTTTAGACTTTTTAGGGAGTAAAATGCCTTTTTGGTGTAATTGGTTCAGCTTGTGTTTTTGTTAAACGTTATTGATTGTTTTAATTAGGGACGCACGATATATCGGGCAGCACATCGGTATCGGCCAATTTATGTTCATTTTTAATGTTATCGTTATCGGCCTGGTAAGAAAATGTGGCCGATATATTAAACCCGATAAATAATGTGTTATTCCCTTCAGCTGAGACACTTGTTGAGCACTGTTTATGTTTTATGTCTTGAAATATGATTGAAATCTCTTCAAAAAATGAAAATACGGTTCGGTACAACATGTGCAGCGCAAATCTGTCATATCGGCTATACAACACTATAATGAGAACATCATTATAATTGCGCGCTTGGCACATGGATTTAATTGTGAGACTTTTGTTTTCGTAATTAGGCTCTCAAACTTAGATAAAAAGTTGGATTTAAGTTTATCGGCCGATATATCGGTTATCGGCTTTCAAATATAAAGAATTATCGGTTATCGGTATCGGCCAAAATTTTCATATCGGTGCATCCCTAGTTTTAATGGGGATTTTGAGAGTGTAATTGGAAATGCACTAAACACAAGGCCACGACTTGTTTTTCTTTATTACCAGGGGCTCATTCTCAAAGGCTGGATAGTGTTGACCTCTGACACGGAAGAGAACAGACATCAGGCCATACGTTACTTTGACAGCGGTGTTCGGGACTCGGGAAATGTATTTGGACTCATGGGAAAAGTAAAACCTGTCTTTATACGCAAACGTACGGAGGCGTATTGCAGTCACTTGAAGAAAAAAAATCTACTCTGTTTTTCTGAATTAACAAGTTAATTTTTCATGAGAAAAAAAAATTTGCTCTGTTTTTCTGAATTAATGAGTTAATTTTTCATGAGAAAACAAATTTTTTTGCTCTGTTTTTCTGAATTAACGAGTTAATTGTTCATGAGAAAAACATTTTTTGCTCTGTTTTTCTGAATTAATGAGTTAATTTTTCATGAGAAAAATTTTTTTTGCTCTGTTTTTCTGAATTAATGAGTTAATTTTTCGTGAGAAAAAAAGTTTTTGCAAAAAATTCCAGCAAAAAAAAAAAAAAATACATGAAAAATTAACTCATTAATTCAGAAAAACAGAGCAATTTTTTTTTCTCATGAAAAATTAACTCGTTAATTCAGAAAAACAGAGTAGATTTTTTTTCTTCAAGTGAATGCAATACGCCTCCGTACAAACGGATGATGTATTTTGAATCTTAAAGGGACTAAACTGTTTCTTTGACGTGCAGATTGAGTTCTTCATGGCGAAGCAGAATGAGCAGTGCGCTCTGGACATTGCCAATCAGATCATAGTCTCTCATCCAGACTTCAGCCCGGCACTCGTGGTGAAGATGAAGCTGTTCATGTCTCTGCGGGACTGGGATCAAGCAGAGGACGTCGCCCGGAGGTGTGTGTTGTTCACTGTTCTTCTGAGCTTTTATTTGAAAAGGCAGTTTTAGACGTTATTCAGTGACTTTGCTTGAAATGTGTAGAGTTCTGGAGAGAGACGGGCATGATCTGAAAGCTCTTCAAATGATGGCCGTTATTGCTGCGGCTAAGGATGGAAATATGGAGATGGTAATTCTGTTTCTTTTTATTTACAGTATAAGTGTTAATGGACTATTTAAAAACTGTTTACACCACTCTATACTTATGAAAGCACTTATTTTAAAATCCCCCTGTGGTGAAAATCAAGTGGTGTTTTTAATCCGCTTTAACACACACACACTATGTGTGCGTTGATAAGTGGACAGCATTGCTGAGTATTTCCTCCTTAAAACTGCAGTGAACCAAAGACAGTTTTAAAAAACACGCTTTGAAGTGTTTCTGACGTCACAAACCACCTTGTAACCAATCAGATCAACGTGTGATCATCAACCAGTGGATCTCTGAGTGAGGGAGTGAGTGGAGGCGGGGCTTACCGTGCATACTAAATGAGGCAAGGGTGTCGAGTTACATTCAAGATATTTTAACACATGAAGAAATTTAAAAAAATGTAAATTTGTAACAACTGTGACGTCATGCACATGCGTGTAACGTGTTCTTAAAAAGTGAGATCGCCATCTTCTGGGCTGGCAGCAGAATAGAGCGTTTTTAGACGTTTTTGCGGATCTGTGTGAACAGCAGGGATCATTTTGACAATGTTGTCGTCTATGCGCAAAGAGAAACACTTCTGTTTTTATTGCACCGCTGTTGTGTAAATGTGTCCTACGTTTAAATTTAAGCCTCCTGTTCCTTTTTATCTCAGACATTTTTATTTGTCGATGACCCACAAATGTTATTCCACTGTGTATTTCAGGTGAAAGAGCGTCTTCAAGCTTTAATGAACGCAGTTGAGATCTCTGAGCCCAGTAATCCCAGCCTGCATCTGGAGATCACAGCACCCATCAGCCGACTGGTGCGAATCACTCTCAATATAATCCCTAAACATATGTCAGCGCTAATGTGTTAATAGACCAGGCTTGTTTATTACACACCGTCCTCACAGGGTTTTGTGCATCCCTAAGTGTCTGTTTCCATGATGCTTATTGCCCTTGGGTCGTTTCAGAGCTGTTCTGTTCATGTACATGTGCTAATATACAAAATAAACAGGACAAACAAACACACTTTAAGCCAGAGGTGTAAAGCCCAGGTTCAGAAAGTAAATGTCCTTCTCAGTATTTTGTTCCAATCATCTGGATTTGCTAATTAGCACCGTTTTCCAGCCAGGAGACAGAACTAATTAGTGAAATCAGCTGTCTTGAGTTCATGGATGGAATTTTGCTTTCTTTTACTTTAACTTTTACTTACACCTCTGCTTACAGCCAACAAAAGTCAATTCTGATAATGAGTGTGTGTAAATGTGTCTAAGTGAGGGAATGGAAGCGTATGAGAGTAGCTCTAAACTATAACAGATTTACCAAAAAAAAAAAAAAAAAATATATATATATATATATATATAATAATAATAATAATATCCGTCCTGGTTATTGCTGAAGAGTCTCTGAAAAGCTCCATAATCTTTCTCCCCTACTGCAGTGTGGACACAACACCGAGATCCTTCAGATGTTGACTGTGTTTGTGCGTCGGCTTTCGTCACGTGCACCAGCATCTGATGTCCTCTGCGAGCTCGGCGATCTGCTCAGTCTCCAAGACAAGAATAAAGATGCACATGAATGCTACTCTGCAGCACTGAAAACAGACCCCAAATGCACATCAGCGTTAGTAGGTACAGTATCGTCACATGCAGGCAGCAGCTAAACTGACTGAGCTGACATGATTTTATTTTTATTAACCCTTGTGCATCAATTAAAAAAAGTTACACATAGGTAAAAAGAGGACAAAAATGTCCATGTCAAAAAACTGTCATAAAAATGTGACTCTTTGGAGCACAGACTTAAGTTTGGTATCATTTTAAAGAAGACCCTTTGCAGATTATTGCTGAAGTAAAAAAAAATAATAATAATAAGTAAATCCAAAAAAAAGTTAAATAGGTATAAGTTTATGAAAATTATTTATAAAAATATTTTATATAAAATATATATATTTTATATATCAGGTTGAACTCAAAACTGCAATAAAATCAAAGCCATGAATCTAAATAGGTTGTGTTCCAAATTTGAAGATGATATCTCAAAAAATAACAGTTTGTTTGGGTGTAGTAACATATTTTTCCCATCGGGTGCCAGCAAAACCCCACTGGAGCTCACAGTGATTGGATTTGAATTTGCAGTTTTTCTCTCTCGGTATTACACACATGCGCACACACACACACATATATTTTTTTATAACACACATACTAAGCACACTCTGACATCCATACCAACACACCCACACAAATATTGTTGCATAATTTATCCAGTTGGCTCTATAATATGCCGAACCAGAAAACAGGAATAAAGCGATATTTGTTTTATAGGCCAAACTTTAAAAAAAATGGCACCATCTGATAAAAATTTTTTTTTTTAAATAAAATTTTGAAGCCTTGCCATCAGAATGAAAGCCTCTTAACAAAGATTGCATAATTGTATAGTTAACTGAACCGTAGATTAAAAATGGCAGTTTTAATGGGTTTCAATGGGGACATTTTTGTCCAAAAGGTGCTGAGAGGGAGTATTTTTTGTACCTAATGCAAAAAATATTTTTTTAAGAAAATGACGGTGAAATAGTAAAATTCCAATAAAACTACACACCAGTGCCAAGTTTTGAAAAGGACAAAAATGTCCATAAGGATGCATAACCGTCACTGTTGACAAAGTGTAACAACTGCAGTTGAAGCCTTAACTAATGGGACATTATTGTGTTGACAGATTATTTTCATTGTGGTGTTACAGTAATAAGAAGGAACGTTTTGTAATGTGGATTTGAGGGAATATGTTTTTAATTGTCATTTAAAATTGTCACGTTGCAACAAAAATCTTAATAGTCCTAAGACAGGCTTCATTTAAAATCTGTTCAATTCCAAATGCTGCTATAGTATAGACGCATACATCTATGCATTAGCATATTTTTTATCTTCATAGGCACGATCAGATGCCAGCTGACGTGTGATCAGCTTGAAGAAGCCGCCCAACAGCTCGCGTTCTTCTGCGAAGTGCAGGAGTCTCTTGGAAACGTAGCGGTAAAAAGCTGAAAGCTCTTCTTATTACACACGTTTAGTAGTGGCATTAGACCGTATTCAGGAAATGTTTAGATGGGTAATGATGATTAGCCCGGATTATGCCTTTAGTAGTGTAGTGTAACTGTGATGTACATATGTTTGATTAAACAGGAAGTTGCTCTGCTGAAGGCCATTTTGTCCAGGAAGCAGAAAGCAGACGAGGAGACTGTGATCCAGTTTCTGAAAGACTCCGCACAGCTTCATTTCTCTGCTCTGCGGGGCTTAAGTTATGGTGTCGAATACCTGCAGATGCTCGACCTCAATTTCCTCCTGCGAATAGTGCGCATGCACCTGGAGTCCAAGCAGGTGTTTATCCTCATTAGCAAAATCAAGGATTACTTGGGTATGCAAGAACTGATAAAAATGTAATGCAGTGTAAGTCCCTTTTAGATCTGACAAATACATGAACGCAAACGTAAGTTGTAAGAAAAGAGGATTTTTACTTCTGGAATTAGTCAATGAATTTTATTTTTTGGTGTGATTTCACAGGATTTTCTCCTAATTCCTGGACAACCTCCACCATTTTGGCTCAAACACGCAGATATGATCTTAGAAACGATCGTCAAAGCCATTCCTGGCATATCAGCGAGCTGTTACTATATGGCCTACGTCAAGTTCCTTCTAGGCAAGTGTGTCGAGATATAGGAACATTTAAAGGAGTAGTTCACTTTAAAAAAAAAACAAAAAAACTTTTGCTGATAATTTACTCACCCCCATGTCATCCAAGATGTCCATGTCTTTCTTTCTTCAATAGAAAAGAAATGAAGGTTTTTGTTGAAAACATTCCAGGATTTTTCTCCATATAATGGACTCCAATGGGAACCAAACGGTTCAAGGTCCAAAAGACAGTTTCAGTGCAGCTTTAAACGACACCAGACGATGAATAAGGGTCTTATCAAGGACCCTTCGAGTCATGACTCGAAAAAAGATTCGTTCATTTTGATGAACGAGTTCGAACAGGAGAGTCACAAACGCTCATCACAGAACAGAGCAAGGCGAGCATTTGAGCTTATAAAACTTAAAATTTTTTTATTTATTTATTAGGTGAGTGATTATTTCGCTTAATAAGACCCTTATTCATCGTCTGGAATCGTTTAAAGCCCTTTGAACAGTTTGAAACTCTCATTTGGACCTTGAACCGTTTGGTTCCCATTGAAGTCCATTATATGGAGAAAAATCCTGGAACGTTTTCATCGAAAAAACCTTAATTTCTTTTCGACTGAAGAAAGACAGACATGGACATCTTGGAACATCAAGTTTTTTTAAAAGTGAGCTACTCCTTTAAATGTGTCACCTGGGGTTATGGTAAACGCTGCAGTGATAACATTCCCAGAATGCCTCTGCAGGCGATCACAGGACAGCCCAGCAGCTTCTGAACCTGTGCATGGAGAAGGAGCCGACCGTGCCGGAGGTCCACCTTCTGCAGGCCCGACTGCACCTGAGCGTTGGAGACCACAGCTCGTGTCTGAGCGGCCTGGAGGCTGGAGTCAGCGTCAACTTCCAGGTCAAACGTTTCTTCAGTCACGTACATTTTTTTCCACTTGAAGTCACTTTTGACTTCAATATAATGTGTCCTTGCTGCGTAAAAGCAAAGACTATAGAATAACACAAGATGCTTGTCTACTATTGTCTTGAATGGGGAAAAGTGCAATGCCCTATGTGGCGGCATAAGTTCCGCCTTCTAAATAAGAGCTAATCACCGATTGGCTAAGTCAGTGCAGCTGCCGTTATAAGCTCTGGTTCAACAGTCATACGCACACTTCCACTGCGCATTAGCTTGTCCCAGCCTGAAAAATGTCTTTTTCTGTCATGATTTGAGCATTTAGAAACAAAATGGATGATTTCAAATATGAAATTCAATCTTAAGCTTGGCGAGAATTTGATGTTTTACCAATTCAAAGAGATAGGAGCTGCACTTGCATGCCGGGAGGCTTTTTAAAGATGGCCGCCTAGCGAAATGTCTTAAATGTCTTTAAATAAAAGTATGAATTTATGAACTTATGAACTGTAGTGTAACTGGACCTCTGGTATTAGTGTGTTTATGTCTTGAGCTCATGTCTGATTTGTCTTTTACAGGTTCAAGATCGGTTCCAGTTCAATCTGCTCAAATCCCGCGCTCTGCTGAGGTCTGGAGACCTGAAGAACGCTATTCAGTGCCTGAACATCACAATGAACATGACAGGGGTCCGCAGGCCCTCAGTCACCAGCAGTGAGCGAGTGTCTGTGTACCTGGAGCTCACAGAGGCCCTGAGACTCAACGGACAACAGGTCCAGTCTGCACGTTCACCAAAGGCAGTGTTGGCTTTGTAATCTACGTAATCAGATTACCTTTTCAAGTAACTAGTAAAGTAATGCATTACGTTTAAAATTTACTACAAAATATCTGAGTTACTTTTCCAAATAAGTAACACAGATTACATTGTTTCCCATTTATTGACTGACGCCTCTCTCGTTCTCATATTGAGACAAATCGAAGTGCAGAGGCGTTGTGTGTGAACATGATGGTTACTGTACTTCTAGACTAAATGTGAGCATTTACTAATCTCACTTGCACAATAAAAGGATTCAATATAAATTAAATAACTAAAACAATTTTTAAATAAATAAATAAAAAACAAATAAATAAAAATAAATAAATAAAACAATTTTTTATGCATTTAATCACACTTTATTGACCAATGTACTTGCTTGCCGACAATGACTTCAGATTTTTTGTTTTTATTGGTAAAGTAAGTGTTAAACTTTTTTCTCCTGCATCCTATTCTTCCATTATCCAGAATGGCAGCACAGCTGCTAGGTACTTTTTAAAGGGACTAAATGTATTGCTTTAAGTAACTTTCCCCAACACTGACCAAAGGTATACCCAAAAATTCAACAAACATTTGATCCAACCAGCCCCTTCTGACCTCTCATGTGTCTTAAGAGTGCTGTGAAACGTTCTCTTTTCTCAGCACGAGGCCACTAAAGTTCTGCAAGACGCCATTCTGCTCTTCAAAGGGACACCAGAGGAGACGCGTGTCATGCTTGCTAATGTGGATCTGGCTTTGGGGAGAGATGATGTGGACGCCGCTGTGGCCATCCTGAAAACCATTCTGCCGAATGAATCAACCTACATCCAAGCCCGCGAGAAGATGGCTCACATTTACCTGGAGAGGAGAAGAAACCACAAGCTTTACATTGCATGTTACAGGTGAGAACTCAACTTACATTGTTTATGTGTGACAGGTCATGTCCACGTCATATTTTTAAAAATTGTACATTTTAAAATAGAATAAAGTAAAAATAAGGGCTTGACATTAACTCTCGTTTAGCAGTAACGCTGCTTATTGCTCTTGTATAATGTCAAAATGCCGGTCTTGGCGAGTATTCACATAAACAGTCATGTTTTAAGTGAACGTAAACAGTTGAGAAAGAAAACGCATGTGTGACAGTATAATGGATCCATGTGGCAGGTCTTAAAGTGACAGCAGCCTAATAAACCTGCTGCTAAATTACACAAAATGACACGAAATATGAAAAATAATATAAAAAATAAACATGAAAAATAATATAAAATATATCTATATGGTCGTTTTTCCCATGTTATTGATGTGGAAATGCTGTGTGGGTAGTAACTTTGGAAAACACTTGCCACAGTGGTTAATATCAAGCCCTATATATATATATATTTAGAGAGCGAGAGATGAGAATCACTATTGAGGATAATTGACAAAAAAGTTGGGGTAAAATAAACATAATTGTCATGAAAATATTGTCACAATGTAAAATATTTGTATTATTTCTTTTGAAATATGGGTGACATAAGAGATTCACTCTAAAGCTGTAGGAAAACTTCTTTAGTATCTTTAACAAAGTATGTTTTTGCTAAATCATGTTGAAGTTTAGTTGCCATCTTAAGATAAAAATGTTTCAGAGAAATAAGTGAGCGGCTTCCTGGACCTCATACTAGCATCTTGCTGGCTGATGCCTTCATGAACATACACCAGGTATATATTTCATGTTCTGTTTTTTTTTTAATTTGGTTTCTCAGTACCAAACACCTCACAAAATCTTTATGAACTTTAAAAAATATCTTGTTTTTAAAGCCAGAGGAAGCGGTCAAGATCTACCAAGCAGTAGAGAAGATGGCTCCTGAACACACATTAGCCAAGAAAATAGGCCAGGCTTTAGTGAAGGCTCATGAATATCTCAAGGCAAGTGACTTCTACAGGTTTACAGAGGACATTTACTTTGATAAAAGTTAAAAGAAGGGCTTGTTTCTCATGTTTCAGGCGGTGAGCTACTATGAGACGGCTCTGAAGACCGATGCGCTGGACTGTTGTTTGAGTGTTGAGCTGTCCGACCTGCTTCTTAAACTCAAACGATTGGAGGAAGCTCAGCAGGTCCTGGAGAAGGCCTTGGAACATCAACCTAGTAACTACAACTTAGATAAACATCAACGAATGCCACGAGAAACCGGTATTAATGTTCTCAGATTGATTTCTCTCTCTGTTTCTGCAGCTACTGCATTGACTACAATGATGAATGATGTAAAAGTGTTACGACTTTTAGTAAAAGTCCTACGGGCCAAGAACGAGTCCGCTCTGGACGTCGTGCAAAAGGTTTGTGAGTATTTTAAAACTTATATATCCAATGGTAGGTGGCCACTGTCAGTGGTGGTAAGTAACGAAGTAAAAATACTTCGTTACTCTACTTAAGTATTTTTTTTGAGGATCTGTACTTTACTTGAGTATGTTTTATTTGCATCTACTTTCACTTTTACTCCACTACAATATTAAAGGCAAAATTTACTTTTTACTCCGATACATTTCCCCGTGCCTGCTCCGAGTATTTATTACACTTGGCTTTCCAAACCAATGAAAAACATGGTTTTCTTAAAAAAATTTTAAAAAAAACGCACGCGCTCGCGCTCTTTGCCAGCACGCTCGCTCACATAGCAGTTCAGTTCGTCAGTTCAGTGGAAGATAATGACCGCAGCTCTCGACTCGCTGTCAGCAGAAATGATCCCGAGATTCCCGACAGAGATCACCCATGGCCATATCTCAAGGATATGTTTGAATTCATTGAAGTTTGGAGATTCGTATCGGCTGAAATGTCTGCTTTGCCTGTCACGGCCGTGTTACAGTGCATTCTATCTGTACAACGCGACGTAGCCTACACATCACACGTGAATGAATAGGTACGGGACACTGCAATTCACCAAAGTTGATTATTTACATAAGCCTTGCCGGTTAAACATTTAATTCACGTGATGATGCGTTGTTCTAACGTGCGCTTTCCTGAGCGCATACCCTCGACGCTCACAGGCACCAGAAGCCTGTCAAACAGCTGAATACTGGACTAAGTTATCTTTCGAGTCTTGTTATGCTAATACTGTTAAATACACACAATGTTTACTTAAACAGAATTGGCTATGTCGAAAGCAAACATTTGAGAGAAAATCTGGTGTAATATGCGTCTACAAATAAATAAATAATCATATTTGTTCATTTAATAACTTCAATGCTACTGATAATTACACCTACTGTATCTGAAAAAATAAAGCACTGTTTATTTAATTTGAATATTATTTTGTTTAATGTTTATCTTGTCTTATTTTTTTAATAACAAAGAAAATAATGACAAATATTTTTATCTTCGCCACTGGCCTAAATGTATGCCTTTCTTTTTTTTTCTTTTGTTACCTAAGTCTTTGTTTTTAACATAGGGACATTAGTTTGGCTGTAATGAACAGAAACTTGCAAAATAGTAAAACCAACTTGAAAAAGAATCGTGATAAAAAATCGTGATCGTGATTTTCCTAAAAAAAATCGTGATATATTTTTGCCATATCGCCCACCCCTGAAATGAAGTAGGCCTATAGCATTATTTACAAACCAGTTATTTAAGAGTTGTCAGTCATTCATAAGATCGTTCATAAGTAAATGTAGTAAATACAGGTAGTTATAAAGCATTTAGTAGTGGTCAGTTAACTATTTGTGTGAGCTCATCTAAAGTGAGTAGGCTATTTATGCCTTGTAAAGCAATTATTAAGGAGATTTAAAGGAGATCAATCTTCTAAACAGTAAAATGTAACAGTGATATAGAACATAGAAATATTTAACAGCCTTTAAATCTCCTGTTATTGTCTCTCATGATTGCAAATCTAACAAATTCTTAATTGCAGTATGTAATCTCATAATTTGTTCAATTAAATAATTGCATATCACCCCCAAAATAATTGATCTGCATAATTATTTATATTTACAGGTTATTGGAATATTTACTTTTACTTTCGGTACTTAAGTACTTTTTAAATCGGATACTTTAGTACTTTTACTCAAGTGATGTTTGAATAGAGGACTTTCTACTTTTACTGGAGTAATATTTTATTTAGGTATATATACTTTTACTCGAGTACAACTTTTGAGTACTTTTACCACCCCTGGCCACTGTTGTGGCAGATTTCCAGTCCCAATTCAAATCATCAAAGTCTGGTTCAGGTCTTGAAGAAATTGCGCAGAGTCGAGGTTTCGGGTTTCAGAAGAAGTAACTTTATTGAGCAGTTCAACAAAGTGAGATGTCGGCCAGTCATTTAATCTTACAATGGTCTGCACACATTCTTATACCTTGTGGTACCCAATTAGCACTCAAATTGTTATCTCTCTCTCTCTTTGCTCCTCCTTATTACTCCTCCCAAATTAAAAACACCTGCATCATCATTTTATTGGGACAACCTTCTTTGCGCATGCGTATCATTTCTTTTTAAAAAAATGATCTGTATTAGTGTCTTCCTTGTTTCAGTATGCTTTTCTCAGTGGCACATTGTTACATTGTATACAATCTGTTTCTCTCCCAGTGCCTCCCAACACCTGCATCTGTGCTACAAGTGTTTTTTGGGTACTTTTCCAATCTCTCGTCCCTGTTCTCATGTACCCTATGACCCTAGTTTTTTCTGCTTGGCATTACATCACATGCACGCTTCTTTCACATGTACATAGGACAGGCAGGTGGGAATTCATGCAGTACGCGACTCTCACAGTGCATTATGGGTATTCTCTAGCCGTTGAGCGCACATCGGTTGTGCACTTGTTGTTGTGGTGCATTATGGGATTGAATGAGTGCACTCGATAACGTCCACTACGTATGGTTTCAGACCTTATTTCCTAGTGCCTTATTTAAGGGTATAAGGCGATTTTGGACACAGCCATAGAAATAACGGCAGTAACGGACTAACGTTTTCAGGGAAGTGTTTTCTGTTGGAGCGATTCTTTTCCCCTTTAAAACGGTTTCGATACGCGACAAAATCTAATAATACACATTATAATCAGTGATGCTGTCTACAATGTCGCACCAATTCCTGACGATAAACTGATGCCCTGTTCAGTTTCTGATCTACTTGAAGCAAACCTGTTACTTCTGACATGATTGGATTGTTTTTTGTGTGCAAACAAATATAAGTGTCTTTTTGCTCTTCTGTCAGGCACATGATATCCAGAAAAAAGTAGTTTGCCGTGTTACAAACGAGCATCCAGCAGAATTACAGGAAGAGAAGAAGTTGTTATCGTCCATCTGTTGTGACTGGGCTCGTGAGTTTCATCTCAAACACGACCTGGAAATGGCCAAACTACACTATACAGACGCTTTAAATCACAGCCCGGACGATGAAGAGGTCAGTCCGTGAATGTAGAGGTGAGATTCGGAGGGAATGTTTTACTATGTCACATTTTGTCCTCCTGCAGATCATCTTTCATCTCGCTCAGTTACACTATGAGCATCAGAAACTGGACTATAGCGAGGAACTGTGTGTGAAGATTCTGCAGCTCAACCACACACACACCGCTGCCTCAATGGTATCGATTTATCCATGTACAGTCAAACGTATTTATTTTATTCAATATTTCTCACATCATCACAGTATAGTTTAGAAAATGGTGATAAATATGAGCAGAACTCAGTGGATGTTTGACCTTTTGTTAGACTCTCACACATGAATATCTGTTAAATTGAACTACACAATTAGATAATAGCAGTTTAGCTCAACCAGTGACCAAGCAATGCTTCATGTTGTTCAGTGTGTGTGTAAAAATATCAGAGAAAACACTTCAGCGAAACATGGTCAGGTCAACGTTTCCGAATCATTTTTACACAAGTTTTACTGTATGAATAATTTTTGGGTATAATATGAGTCACAATTTGCTTTTTTTTTGTTCTGCTTGCTTAAATAAATGAACTATAGTGTCCTTAATCTGCTTGTCTAGTGTGTCTGAAATATTTTTGGCTTTACTGTAAGTCTGTGTTTGGTTTATCCTCAGCTGTTGGCTGATGCATTATTTTGGAAGAACCAAAAAGAGGAAGCAGTCGAGATGTATGCTTGTGTAATGGAGCGGAACCCAGGTGTGTTTCTTACTCAAACATAATTATTTCATTCATATATTTCATGTCTGTTTCCATGTACGGTAGACAACTTTCATGCCATGGCCAAGTTTCTGCACGTCCTGCGCAGGATGGGGAAGCTAGACGACGTCCCGTCTGTTTTTGAGGCGTGTGAGAAGTTCAGTCCGCTGTCGGTCCGAGAGCCAGGGTTTCATTACTGCAAGGGGTTTTACTTCTGGTCAGTGAACACTAATCTATTGAAAAGAGAAGGTTGTTTCTCTTGAAGAAAATATTTTTTAGGATTATTACCATTTTGAGCATTTTTTAATTACGGATAATATTGCACAAAAATAATTTGAATAATCCCAAAAAATATATTTTTGCTTAATTTTCAATTTCATTAATTTTTTTCTTTGTTCTCTATACATACTGTGTGTGTGTGTGTGTGTATGTATATATATATATATATATATATATATATATATTATATATATATGGGCTGTCAAACGATTAATCGCATCCAAAATAAAAGTTTGTGTTTACATAATATATGTGGGTGCACTGGGTATAATTATTTATATATATATATATATATATATATATATATATATATATATATATATAAATACACACACATGCATGTATGTATATTTAAGAAAAAAATAATTTATATATAAAATATTTATATTTATATATAATAGAAATTATATATAAATCTGTATACAGTATATACATGAAAATATTTCTTAAATATATACAAGCATGTGTGTGTATTTATATATATATATATATATATATATATATTAATTAATTAATTCCCCCCCCCTCATTAAATTTATAGGTAAAATTACTTAATATGATTTATATCTTTGTTTTTGTCAGTCTATTAATTTTTTTGACAATTTTATTTGTTTGTGAGTCATTTGTCAAAGTTCATGAAAACTAAATATAAAACATCTTAATGGTCCTAAAATTGTGCTACTTTTTTGTGTGTGCTTTATAATTAAAAAAAAAATTCATTTGATTTATAGGTAAAATATGACTTACATTCTGAGATTTTTTTTTAGAAATAGATTATGTCAAAAATATAATCAAATTCTCCAGATTTTTTAGTCTCTTTAAGTCTCTTCAATGGTGTTTATAAGAGAGTGATGGGCTGTTTGTGTGATGGTTGACCTCAGGCACACCTACCATGTGACCGAGGCCCTGACACACCTGAACCGGGCCCGAGGAGACGCGGACTGGGGAGAGCCAGCCGTAGAGCTGATGGTCCAGATCTGTCTGAACCCTGACAGGGATGTCTTAGATGACGGACCGAAGGACTTGAGGTCAAAAGATCTGATTTCATGTGTGTTTTCAGATGATTTCATGTGTGTTACCTGTGGTTGTTTCTCCTGCAGCGAGTCAGAGAATGACATGCGACTGAGCACAGCTCAAAATCTGCTGTCGATGTTTCGCCCGCGCTGTAAATCTGAGCAGGACAAACTCAGGCTGCTGTCTAACCTGTGCCGGATCTACAGTAAAGACGACAGACATGTGGAGAGGGCCGTGCTGGAGCTCACACACACACTGGCCAACAACGTACGTTCTCTTAAACTTATATATCATTATATATCATTGACCTCTTACAGGATTATTATAGTTAATTATTATAAAACTAGAACGGTATCACTTTAGTTTAAGGTCCAATTCTCACTTTTAACTAGTTGATTATTAGCATGCATATTAGTAGGATATTGGCTGTTTATTAGTACTTCTAAAGCCATTATTAAGGCATGATTGCATTCTACATCCCTTAATTCTAAACTAACCATCTTACTATTAATAAGATGTAATTTGGAGTTCATTGAGGCAAAAGTCATAGTTAATGGTTAGTTTATAATGAGAATTGGACCCTGATCTAAATTGTGATCACTAAAACCATGAAAAAAAATACATAACTTTAAAAATACATAACTGCAATACAATACAATACAAATTATGAAAAAATTTGTTGCCAAAGCAACATTTCTCAGTATCATTTTACTAAAATTGAAACTCAAATAAAAAAATTAATTAAAACAAATTATAAAATGTGAAAAATAAAATAAAAATAAGATAAAATGTAAAAATAAGATTAAAAAATGTCAAAACAAATTAAAAAGAATTACATTTAATAATCTAAATAAACTAAAATTAAGATGAAAAAAGAAAAAAAAATCATTTTTTAATGTGTTTTTACATTTTTTAATAACACACACTCAGTCCTCTTCACTTGATTAGTTCAGTGGTAGTGTGTGTTGTGAAGGACATGCTCTCCTGATCTGCAGGTGATGTTGGAGGCATCTTTGCTGGCGATGGCTCAAGGTTTGCTTCAGCTCAAACAGATTCCCAGAGCCAGAAACTCCCTGAAACGCCTCACCCGGATGGAGTGGACCGACGCAAACGCTGATCACTTGGAGAACGCATGCCTGCTCTTGGCTGACATGTACATAAAGCTGGGAAAACACAATCACGTGGACAGACTGCTGGACAGCTGCATACGACACAATAAGGTGTGTGTTTGCTCGAGTTAGACTGGCTGAAATCAGCAATAAACAGCGGAGCTTCTTTGTTTGAATCTTACAAATGCACACACAATGTTAATGTGAAGTTTACTCCGATATTTGTTCATAATGTTTTAGACCTGCAATTTCTAAAAACATTTTTGTGTTTATTACACCTGAGAATATAAGTAAATATGTAAGCTTCATTTATATAGCACTTTTAAAAAAAACAGTGTTTACTGAAGAGAAGTACAAGAGAAAAACAAACATTCATGCATAATAAAAAATAAGATAATAAAATGAAACACAACATAAATTAAATCAAGGCCGTAGGGAACAAACGTGTTTTGAGATACTTTTAAATAATGCATAGTCTATTTTATAATTAATATTAAATTAGGAATATTAATATATCAAGTAAATGTGATAATATACATTTTAAAACAGTATAAGGCAGTATAAATGTATATAAATATTTATTTATTTACTTCATATTTATTGTATGTGTGTGTGTATATACAATAAATATAAAATAAATAAATATAATTAAAAGTAAATAATTAGTGGTAAATGGTAAATATTAGTAATTATATAATATATTATATACGTTTATAGAATAATATTAAGATGATAATTTTACAGATAAATATTTAATTTAGCTATTAGGCTATATTATAACTATATAATAATAAATAATAATTACAAAATAGTTTATAATAATTGAAAATAATGTTATATATATAGAATGTGCTTCTAAAACTGGGGGAAAATAAAGAAAATAAGAAGTGTAAGATAAAAACAATTTTGAGCTAGTAATATGATCAGTTGTTTTTCTCAACTTTAAAGAACACAGTGTGTGTGTGTTGTGACCCTTCAGTCGTGTAGTAAAGCGTACGAGTATCGTGGTGTGATGATGGAGAAGGAGCAGAGATACAGAGATGCAGCGCTGCAGTTTGACCTGGCCTGGAAATACAGCAACAGAGCGGATCCTGCAGTCGGTGGGACTTGATGATTCCTGTGGAAATAAGAGCATGAACTTCATAATCTGCCTTTACAACTGTTGCTCTGATCATTGGCAGGATTCCGGCTCGCCTTCAACTGTCTGAAGTGCAGGAACTACACGCAGGCCGTGGATGTGTGTCGTCAGGTTTGTAAGGACATCATATTCGTCTTTCTATAATGTGATGTTTGTGATATATTTGGGATATTCTGCTGTAGGGTGGGACTTGATTTTCTCCATTTTGAAAGCGATTAGATGCTAAAACATTGATTGAAGCTTGTTTACGCCACTGAATAAAACAATAAAACTTTTTATATCTCGCAATTCTGACTTTATATCTCACAATTGTGACTTTATAACTCCTAATTGTGTTATTAAGTCAGAATTGTGAGATATATACATTCAATTCTGAGAAATAAGTCAGAATTTCCAGTTCATATCTCACAATTCTGACTTTATATTGCGCAATTCTGGGTCCCACTTTATATTAAGTGGCTTTAAGTACTATGTACTTACATTTAAAAATAAGTACAATGTACTTATTGTGCTCATGTTGTATTGTAAATCACTTTTGGTGCTATTGAGGTGGGATACGGGTAAGGTTAGGGACAGGTGTGGTGGTAAGGGTAGGTTTAAGGGTAAGGCATGGGTCAGCTGTGTAATTACAGATGTAATTACATAAATTAATTACGGCTGTAACTACATGCTGGTATTTTTTAAATATAAGTTCAATGTAAAAACATGTATGTACACAATAAGTCCATTGTATCAAATGATTAATGTCAATGTAAGTACATGGTACTGAAAGCCACTTAATATAAAGTGTTACCCAATTCTGAGATAAAAAGTCACAATTCCCTTTTTTATTTCTCATTCAGTGGCAGAAACATGCGTCCACAGAAAATGTCTGACTGATGATGTCATCAGTGTGTGTGTTCTGTCCAGGTTCTGCATCAGCGTCCAGATTACCCACAAATCCACAGTGAGGTTCTGACCCGAGCTCAGCTCTCGCTCCGTCTGTGATGTCATTTCCCTTGTGAAACACTGACATTGAGAGATGTTAGTTAGAGAGATATTTATTAGTTTTAAAGGTTTTATGTTTATGTGCCATAGGAACATTTAAGCAATTTGTAATATCCAGTGCACTCCCACAATTCCTGAGGCACAAAATCTGACGTTTTGTGAACAAAATCTAATTTGTGTGTGTTTGTTTATGTATGTATCTGTTTTGTGTGTCTGTGTTTGTGTAAACATTTATAAACCTATAAACTGTACTGGAAAGCCCTTCTCTTACGTTTAGAGCAGTGACAAAATAAAATGAGTTTGTCAAGATCTGAAACAGCATATCAGTTTTTTGACCCCTCTTATATTTTCATGGACACAGAGCTACAGGTGAGTGTTTCGGTTTTGTCTTTATAATACAGTATGTTGATGATGTTGAGTTCATATTTAAAGGTGAATTTTCAGTTTCTCCATTCAGCGTCAACTAATTTAACTTACTTAAGAAAGACGGTAGAAAATGACACTCTCCATTAAATTACTTTTTGAAATTGTAAAGCGGTTATCACTGTAAATGTTTATTTTTTATCCCTAAATGCTCATATGCAAGTCTTTCAGACGTTCACTGTGTGCAGTTCCTCAGTCATCCTGCAGGAGGCGCCAGTGAGCTCGTCATGAACGATGGAGCTGATTGGCCAATCCACTAAGAGGTATTTTTAGGTCATTTGACATACACTTCTGTAAAAATATAGATGTAGAGGTAAGTAATAATATGAAGTAATTTCTTCTTTTCGGCCATGACAGAATATTTAAAATCCGGCATTTTTAAAAGTCTAATCCTAGATGTGCTCTTATGTTTCACTTGCATCAGCCATAAAGAGTAAACTTTTTGGTCCATGCACAAAAACAAATAAATAAATGTGAATTTCGGTTTAGAAGTTTAGATGCATTTCTACCTAATAATTTAGTGGTGCAATTGCTAAAAACATCTTTGTTTGTATTTTTTATGATTGAAAATAAAGCAATATTTTTTATTAGTTATATTTATTTAGTAAATAATAATTATAGTAGTAAAATATACATTTATTTGTGATTACATATTTAAAATGTAGATAAATTATTTTATATAAATTAATAAAAATAAATGAAAAATGTATGTATATATATATATATAAATTATACATTAATATTTTAATAAAGTAGTACTTGTAAAAAATCATATTTTCTAGTTGCAAATTGTTGTGTGTGTATGTGTGTTTTGAGCTGGCAAATGTATTAATTGTTAAGCACATATATACACAAACACATATTTACAAACTTTTATTTTAGATACTATTAATTGGGATTTATCGATATCACAGCTCTAATATGTATATATATATACACACACTACCAGTCAAAAGTTTTAGATTGGTAAGTTTTTTTTTATGTTTTTAAAAGAAGTCTCTTCTGCTCACCAAGGCTGTAGTTATTTGTATTTATTTATTTTTTTTAATCAAATAATTGCAGCCTTTTATCAAATAATTGCAGCCTTGGTGAGCAGAAGAGACTTCTTTTTTTTTTTATGTGTTTAGAAGAAGTCTCTTCTGCTCACCAAGGCTGCAATTAGCGTATTTGATAAAAAAAACAAAAAAAAAAACAGTAATATTGTGAAATATTATTACAATTTAAAACAGCGGTTTTCTATGTGAATATATAGTGAAGTGTAATTTATTCCTGAGATGAAAGCTGAATTTACAGCATCATTACTCCGGTCTTCAGTGTCGCATGATCCTACAGACATTATTATAATATGATGCTCAAGAAACATTTATGATTATTATCCATGTTGAAAACAGTTTTTTACATTTTTATTTCAGGATTCTTTGATGAATAGAAAGTTCAAAAGAACAGAATTGATCTGAAATGGAAAGCTTTTGTAACATTAATCACTATTTGTAACATTAATCACATACATCATAAAGGTTTGGGGTCAGTAAGAATTTATTTTTTATTTTTGGGGGAAAGAAATTAGAAAATACTTTTATTCATCAAGAATGAGTTAAATTGATCAAAAGTTACAGTAAAGACATTTATAATGTTAGAAAACATTATATTTTAAATAAAAGCTGTTCTTTTGAACTTTCTATTCATCATAGAATTTTGGGGGGGAAATAGTACACGACTGTTTTCAACATTGAAAATAATAATTTATGTTTTTTAATAATAAAATCAGCATATTAGAATGATTTCTGAAGGATCATGTGACACTGAAAACTAATGTGTAGTCAGCAACAGTAATGAAGTTGAAAATTCAGCTTTCATAGGAATAATTTACACTATATATTCACATAGAAAACCGCTGTTTTAAATTGTAATAATATTTCACAATATTACTATTTTTTGTATTTTTTTTTATCAAATAATTGCAGCCTTGGTGAGCAAAAAAAGAGACTTCTTCTAAAAACATACAAAATCTTACCGATCTAAAAATTTTGACCGGTATACTATATATATATATAATGATTAGAAAGAAATAATAGATTTATAAATATAAAACATTTTTTAATCAAACCTAGTACTTTGCAGAAATCATTTTTGTTTTTTTAAGTAATTAAATCAAATGAAATCAAATCCAACCAGGATTTAGTAAATACTAATTATGATTTACTAAATGTGCCTCTGGCTAAAAGTACTTTTAAAATTTTTTTTATCCCAAATGCCGTTAGTATCCTTAACCAAACCCTAGTGACAACAACAAATGAGTTATCTTACTGTATTTAAGTATATTTATTTTCATTGTGATATTTTACATTGTATCTTTATATATTTATTCCTTTACTATGTTTGAGACGTTGTCTGTATGTTTATGTCTTGTATTTTTGGTGAGCCAAAGAAAACTTTCCAAACCGGTGGACAATAAAGTTGTATTCTAATTCTATTCTAATTCATCACAGGTAAATGTAAATGTTGGGTTCTCTTGAATATCAGTTGTTTGGAAGACAAGGAAGTGTAATAAAAGGAAAATGAAGAGGGGAAAAAAGAAGTCAATCTATGATGCAAGATAAAAATAATTGGAAGGGGAAGGAGGAGAGAGAGATGGTTGTGACAGAGGAAATGATGTTGTCACGAGCGCTGAAGTACCTGTATCATAACGGATTTTGTGGAAGGACCCATAACGTTTGAGAAGAGAGCGTTCACCAGCACTGAGCAGCGTAAGCACAGCAGACTAAGCTTTATAACCTCATGTGTTCATGTTTCTACAGCTCTAATCTTCTTCATCCACAGATGTCCGTCTCCGACAGCTCGCCGTCCTCCATCTGCATGTTCTCACTCCATCACCCGTGCTCCGGCTCTCCCGACGGGACGCTCCCTCAGGACCCCATGCCTCAGGTGGACTCGGGTCAGTACGGCCAGAACATGGGCTTTCCCCGGACGGCGGAGCAGATGATGGGTCTGGGTTACCTGGCGTACCCGTCCTGTCTGAACACCAGCAGCAGCGAACGCAGCGCGCAGCAGAATCACAGCGCTCCACAGGTGACAACACACACACACACACACCTGTGCGAGTCTGCCATCGGGCCTCTAATGATCGAACCGATGAATGAACAATACACTTTTGGTTTTGTTCACATCTCAGCATTTCTATAAACGTGTGGTTGTTTGGGTTATCATAGTTAACTGAAACCATTAAAAACATTAAAATCTAAAACTATAAAATCCATTTTTCATTTAGTTTAACTTGATGTACTAAAATAACTACAGTACAATTCTAAGTAAAACCATAAAAAAATAAAATAAAATAAAATATTACAAAACCGTATTTTATTCCAGGTAGTTTCCATTGCAGCTTTTCCTTTTTCATTTAGTTTAAGTTGATGTACTAAAGTATCTACAACTAAAACTGAAATAACATTATTATACTATAAATGTGTATTTAAAAAAAACATGTGTAATTAGATATTATACGTATAATAACTTATAACTTGTAAATGACATAAACAAAACAATTTACTAAAATTAACAAAAATATTAATGGAAAATACACAACTAATTCTACAATGAAACCGTAATGGTTTCTCAATTATATTTAAATAACAATTAATAAACCAGAGTAAATAATTCATATTATTTATAAATATATTTTATTGTTATAAAATAATATTAAGTTATTAATGATTAAAATGATAGTTATAAATGTTAGATTTTTTTTTTAAATATTTTTAATATATTTAGTTTAACTTGATGTACTAAAATTAATAAAAATGATATAGATGTATTTAAACAAATTCTAATTTTATATTATACTTATCATTTCTAACCCATAAGCCAATAAAAATGACAAAATTACTAAAACTTTAAAATTAAAATAACTATGCAAATAAAAACCAGTTCAATATATGAATAAAACCAGTTTTTCAATTGTATTAAAATAACACTTAATGAACTTATTAATGATGTCTGAGAATACGAGTTACGAATTTACTAATTCTATAACTAAGTATTTAGTCTAAATACTTAATATTAGTGACTATTCAATTAGATAGAATAGTAAATATAATAAATAATTTTTTTATAATTTTAAAATATTTTATTTAAAACATTTTCTGGAATAACTTGTTTTTTTGTGTGTTTGCATGAAATTATTTGAGGCACTGAAATAATTGCAATTACTAATAAATAAAGAATTGTTGTAGGGAAATATTAATGTTAGATTCCATTGGATGTGTGTGTAGTTTGGAAAACAAGGATACATTAATATAAAAGAATGCAATAAAAGTGTTTATAAAACTGGAAAAAGCATTTGCTAAATGAATAAATGTAAACAAGTCTTCATGAAATGCACACTTGTAGAATAGATATGTAGCTCTTGTATCCTTCTTTCAGAACGCTAACCCATAATGCACCGTGAGCTCAATGAAAATATCCATTGAGATTGTGGAAGAAGTGGGAGAAATGTTTATGATCTGGGAATTTCACGAAAGGAATCATGGCACTTTATTTTAACGCCAAAATCAGTTTGATCTAGTTGTGTTTGTTTTGTGGAGTGAGTGATCATCTCTGTGTGAATCGCCTTCACTGACCTTTATTTCTTCTCCGTTCTCGGTAACTGCTGATCTTTGGGAAGGATT